TGTATTGCTTTTATCTTGTAGCATTTGTACCAAAGTTCACCTTCTTCTTTATTTTTTCCCTCCACCAAGTGATGAATGGGTTTGTGTGTGGTGAGTGGGTCTACTGATTTCATGAATATTGTTTTGACCTGAGGCTGGACCTTGAGAGTGGCCAAAACATTTTTTAATAGTAACACTTTTATTCACTGAACAGTTAAACTGAATAAAAGAATAATCATTAGCAATTTCATGGTATTTGTGTATCTTTTACACCCTGTAGAATAGTAATTTCAGTAATACATGTTAAATGGATCATTTTTCATTTAATTTATAAAAGTTGGATGTTAACCTGTATTGTATGTGTCCAGATTGCATTTAACTTTGTTTTGTAATATAATTAGTGGGCATGGAGCCTGGGATACAAGACTCGGATGTCAAGTGCAATACCCTCCATGTCTTGTCTGCCTTTATACAGGAGTTCAAGTTTGGTTTGCAATATGCATAAGGGAGTTAATTGCCCCATAAAACTTATCACACAACATCTAAAAGTAAAAAAAGAGACAATTTTTATTGTAGTCTATTTGAAAGAAACAGGTGAATGCTCCACCTTTTTTCTGTGAAAAAGGAGCTATTTAACCTTGAATAAAAACAGTAAAGTCAAATGCATTTTTAAATGCATTTTATTATTCTTTCTTCATTTTTCATTTTGGCATGTGTTTTTATCATTGTTTTCACATGATTTGACGAATCTTAGCAAACTTATCATGCTTTGGCATACCTTAGACCTTATAACTCCTCCCCCTGCTTTTTTAAGACAGCACATGAAATTTTACATCTGGGTTTTCTTCTATTTTTGATCTTCTTACTTTTTAAGGAAATGAGTTAATGGATGAATGCTGTAAGCAACCCATTTCTGGAATTCTGATTGATTACATATGACATTCTTTTATAGAGTGATCCCGAAGTTGTGTAACTTGCTTAAAGCTAACGATCCATCCATTCCTCAAGTTTAACAGCCGTAATATATTTTTGGACCTACATAGCAAAATGCATATTTTCTCTTTAATCTCTTCAGTTCCCTTTTTTTTCCTCTAATGAAAATTCATGTATTTTGATGTCTGCTAATTTCCTCAGCGAAAAAGAACATACCTCTGCACTCCTGACAGAACTGTACTTAAACTTCATTGTATTCTCCAGGCAAAATGTAAGATCATTCTCTTGCATTTCACAGTGGATTGTAAAAACTGAAACGGATACAACTGCATAACGTATGCTCATGGCAAGTAATTTAGAATGTATGCTACCCTCAAAAATCTGTACTTCTTTGGTGGGTTTTGTTTGGTTTCAGGAATGGTTCATGCTTAGAAACTTCTGTGTTTTCACTGACATACACACATATTAGCTAATATTGACAGATAGATAGCTACAAAAGCACAATAATGGCAGGTACTGCAGATAACTATAAAGGCTTTGGCTTTTCAAAGGTCATGGTAGATTACAATTGTTTCCTGAAGCTGGCTCAGGTTTTCTCTTCTCCCAATAACTATGCCAGTGCAAGAAACAACCAAAACCTGATTTTCATTGCAAGCTGTCCCTTCCTCATGCTATTTATGCTACAGTTTTAGCATAAAACTATTTTTTAAAAATTCAGTCTTAATTTTTTTAAATTTTAAATATTTTAAATAGTGTTTTTTACATTTTGTAAAAAATTTTGATCAAAATAGACAATTTAAAACAGTTTTAAGACATTTCTGTACTCAGGTGGATGAAGTTCTCAAGGTATGATGTATCTTTTTAAAAAGTCATTTCTCCACAGGGAACTTTTCTCAACAGTAATTTTTTTCATTACCATTTCCACATTTAGAATAGGTAGGAGTGTAAATAAAACCAAGGTCTTTATGTATGAAGAAACAGGAAATTTCTATTTGCTGTTCAGCAGTTGAATGTTACCTGTGTTTGGAAAAGTGTTTACCACAAACTTCAGGCTACAATGTTAGTAACTCTAGTTCAAAGGCAAATTGTACCTCTTGTCCATCTTCTGAGGTGAGAGGTTAAAACTTGCTTTCTCTAGAATTCTCAGCTGACATGAAAAATCAGACCTATACAGTATAATTACTGCTTAATAAACTCCCAGTTGCTTCAATTTTAGGTTATCATAGATATGAAGAACCGATTAAAAAAAGGAAAAAAGAAAACAACAAAACCTGAGAATTTTATTGCCTTTCTCTATATCAAAGGCCAAGATACCTGGCCGGAATGGATTAATAGCATTGGTGGCAAGTCATTCCCACTGGTTAAAAAAATATTTTTGCTTTTTCTATTGTCTTACCAGCATAAAATTCAGAGAAGAGCGTAGAAATTTTAACAAGTGGTTCCCTGCTGCCTACCCATATGTGTAAGTGTGGATATAGTATAATTATATATAAATTATGTAAGTAATGAAGAAACATTCTACCATCATGAAGGCAATGGGAGCTCTGGCTTCCAGACTTTCTTAAATCCCAGCTCTTAAATCCTCAGATATGAGACTGACTATATCTGATTTACCACAAAACAGAAAGATAACAAACAAACGTCCATACCTCACTTTGTATTCCATAAAATGTATCTAATGCAAAAACTATTCCACTGGAGAAGAAATTGTTAAAGGAAAGAGGAAAGTAAAATTGCTTTGGGTTTCCCTGTGTGAGTATTCTCTAATGAGCACAGTGAATGTTTCCATTACCTGCAGGGTTTCTAAACATAAACACACAGCTAGAAAAAAAAAGATCAGCTCTTCTGAGAGGGAGTGCACAAGGTGCAAAGGCACACCTACTCCCAACTTGTAAAGTCATGTCAGCACCAGGTACACATTATGCCCTAGAATTTCTGCAAGCATATGTCTTTACATCCAGACAAGTTTGTTGGTTTGGGGGGTTTTATTTCCTTTTGGTTTTCCCAACTAGGTTGATGGTATGCTGTTAAGAGGTTGTCTATCCTTCCTAAATTGTAGTTCTTGGTCTTTTAGTAAATAACAGAGTTTAAGGCTATGCTCAAGCCCCACTTCTTCTGAGTTACTGTCTAAGCAAAGACAGAGGTGTTGAATGGCTGTGTAGAGTACCTAAATAGCAATGACAGATCAGCTCAGAAAAGTGCACATATACATATATGAGCCCAAGTATACACAAAAAGAAAACAGATCATCAACAGAGAAATTAAAAGTATTTACAAAAAGTGGGTTCCAGATAGAAAATGAAATAAAGGAGCCAAATCACTACAGCAAGTGCTCTGAAGAAAAGCAGGTAAACAAATACAATTGGAAAGTTACACAATTTGATGTGTAAGATAATATAAACTATGCCATCAAGTTTTCCTCAGAAAATGTTGTCAACCGCATTGCTTTTACAAGCCACTATGCCAGCAAAGATGTCTTACTATGGTAATTAAGTAGGGATAGCTTAGCTATAAATACCCAGGCCAGTATAAATGCATTTAGAAAGGATTTGCCAGTTTAGAAAGACTAGGACAGATTCTAGACAGTAAAAACCTGCTTAGCCAAAGAGATTCATCTGAATAGTGAAGAAAAACTACACAGAATTAATAAATGCTTCTTTGCATTTGGTAAAATATTTACAGAAACACTGTTGATACGTTCATTATTGGGAATCAGAATGTGCTTACTTTGAACTTACTGAGTTCAGCAGAAAAACCCATCGGAGGTCAGGCTCGTGCCCTCCAAGCAGCTCACTGGCACCTTTACTTTTAAATACGGGATCACAAACACAGCGTGATCTCTCAGCGTGACCCAAGAGGGGGGCCCTGGAGCAACAGAGCTCACGACTCAAAGTGGCCAAATCCTCTTGAAGAGCTGTAGACAGTTCTGAGTGGCCAGATCTTCATGAACGGCCATTTACAAGCTTCTCTCTTAGAATCTGAAATTCTCCGAAAGCTGCAGCTTTCCTGAGAGGAACACTGCAGTTCCTGTAGAGTTAGAACCCTTCTGTCTTGCAGAGCCAGGTCACTGGCCAAACAGCTTGTTCAGCAGGGTTTCCTGCTGTTTGTTCTCTGCCAGACATTTTTATCGTCTGTTAAACTGTTTGGAGAAACCCTCCTACTTATCTGCTTCTTTACAAGTGTTTGGCTTCACTTGCTTCTCAATTCCTTCTACTAAACTGCCAGTGAGAAACTCTGCCCAAGCCCAGAGGTTTCTGTTTCCATCCTTTATTATGATTATTGAGATGGACATGGGGGAACAGAGGCTCAGTTCAATTACGCTCCAACACTATACGTTTATTTTTGTACATTTATGAATACATTTGTATACTTGTCTGCTACAAAGAACCATGCAGAAACATGCTTATGCAGATTAAAACCAAACTGTCCTGCTGATTCCAGTAAAACTGCTCTATCTTTAACTAAAAGTTCTGCTTTCAAGTTTCCGTCTGCTATTCATGGCTTCCGTAAGACTCAAAACCCAAGCAGGGCAGCTCCTTCGAATATTCTATTGAAGACCCTAGCAAAATGGAAGAAGGCAGTAATTTTTCCCCATTCCAAAATGTAAAATGACTTCGAGCTGACAAGCTGACCCAGCTAAAAACCCAAGTCACCCAAGTGGGGTGTTTAGAAGTGATGCTGCTTAGGGACAGAGCAGCAAACCTGCAAACATGGACTGTGCTATTGATGATCTCCCACCTCCAGTGTCTCTGGGTATTTTCTGGTTCCTTTTTAGGATAAAAGTACCTGGAGTGTAGGCATGAGAAAGTGTTTTCGGATGGAAAATAAGATTAATACAGAGCTTTTTGTCCGCATGAATCCACGACCCTGATTTGGGCAAACGGCCCGAGCTGCATGAGCGGCGCTTCCACCTCCGGCCGGCCAGTCTCCGGCGGCGTTCCCTCTCCTGGAGCAAAGGGACGCGGGTCAGGCGGCACCGGCGCGACCTCCCCGCTGCCCCTCCCGCGGCAGCACGGGGGAAGCCCGCGGGCCGACCCGCCCCTCCTCCGCGCCGCGGGGCGCCGCAGGGTGGGATCGCTCCTCTGCCCTCCCCGGGGCAGGGCTCGGCGGGGCCGGTGCGGTGGAGCGGAGCGGGACCGGGTGGGCGCAGTGCCGCGGCGATGTTGGGCGTGCGGCTGCAGCTCCTGGCGTGCTGCCTGCTGTTCGGCGGCACGGCGCGGGGCTCCGCCGCCCTCCGCCGGGACGAGGTGCCCTCCCTTCGGAGTGAGTGACGGCTCCGGGGCCGGCCCGGGGCCGGGGGGCGGTGCGGCGGGTCGGGGGGCGGCATTGGTCGTGCAGCGGCGCCGGGCTGAGCCGTTCGCTTCCCGGACGCCTCTCAGCCCCGTCCCTCCTTTCCGCGCTTGCAGCCGTGGGGAAGCCAACGGGCCTTAGTGCAGTGGGCGGACAGGAGGTGTCAAGGTGGGGGGAGACTTCTGCCGGGGTTCACCCTACCCCTGCTAAGAGGGGTTGGGTAGGGTGAAGGTGTTACCTCGTCCTGAGGTGAAAGGGTCTGGAAGCCCTCCCTATTGCCCGTTGGTTTCTTTGCACTTAAAGGCAATAGAGGTGACCGGTTTTTATCCTTTCCAATAAATTCCAGTTATTTTCTCAATTGCCACATAAGCAATCCTCACCGCCTTTTGAGGGGGAAGGAAGTGGGAGGTGAGGAGGAAGGAAATGAACATATCTTGGTCTCCTAGTTTTGCTACAGCCATTTATTCACTGTGTTGAACCTAAGTAAACAGGAACTTGGAGGGACTGGTCTGCTGTTAGCTCTTCAACTTTGTGTCAGCTTGATGCTTCACTTCTGCGAGTTTGTTTCTTGTCACCTTGTTGGTTTATGGAAGGACCTGGGTGTAGGAGAAGCTGGCTGTTTCCAACTGACAGCGTTTCTCCACCCTGTCAATTTCTGAAGTATAAGCTGTCTTTTTCTCCTTGGGTCCTCTGGGGCTTGCAAGTTTATAAAGCCTTTGACAGCTCTTTATATGCAGGACTTTGGGCACAGAATCCTCCTAGCCTAGCAGCTTTGTAACAAAACCCTTTAGTGAGAGCACCTGTAAAACAGATGGCATAGCTTCATCAGCTGAAAGAAGGGAAGTTTTGGAGGTGTTCTGAAGGCTGGGAGCTATTCCAGTTGTCTCACTGCCCCACTTGAGAGAACTGAGCTGGGGCCCATGGAGCTGCCACTGACCCTGCCACCTCTCACATCTTACTTCTCCCTTGGGCTGGCAGTTACCTGGCAGTCCTTGGGCCAGGATGGCTCTCTTGCTAATTGCATCTTCTAGTTGGGGAGCAGACACCACATTTGGAAGGGGGCTCTGTGGCTCGCGTGTCATGGTCTGGCCGTTCTCGGCACAAGTTGCTGTAGGGCGCAGAAGGGAACCATGTATTATTCACAGATATCATGCAGTGGAGTCATCTGTGTAGAGTGTGTAGGACCCTTATCTTTTCTCAGCAGTTCCTGCAACTCTAAGAGCCTTACAGATAAAGGCATTCAAAGGTTGAGAATCCTTCATCTTTGGGTTGATGGTGTTGCTCCCTCCACCCTCAGGAAGCTGCTGCATGGGAGTTGGTGTATGGTGTTGAGGCAGAGGTAGATTAGGAGTTTGCGTAAGAAGCTTATTTAAGTGTGAATCCCAGTATCATGGTGAATTAACCTCATTAATCAGTGTTTACTGGTGCTAACAACATCGCAGCTTCCACTTAACTAGCAAATGAACAGTGTATTTTCTTGGCTAACCAAGATAAGACTGCTGTGGGAAAGGCATGAGAGACAGAAACCCTTTCTGGACATGTAAATATTGACGCCTGCATTGCCCATGTAGGATTGGGTTGGATAAGAAGAATGAAACCAGCACAAACTGCACAACTTCACCGAAAACTCAAAGGTGAAGGGCTAGACAGGCAAAGTGTATCTGGCAGTGTTGTCTGATGGTTTTTCAGTGAGTTTAGGCACCTCAGAACGGTAGAGATACAGTGATTAAAGGAACCTTGCTCAGCCCCAAAGGGTTAAGGACTTAATGTCAGACAGCTGTTGAGTGCTTGGGAGCTGCAATTGTATATAACAGGCTGGTTCTCATCTGTTGTCAGTCAGAAAGGCTTGTTCCTGCTTTCTACACCATTGCAAGCTACCAGTGTCTATAGCTATGTGGAAAGTGCCCTTGCTACCAGTGATACCATTTGCAGTGTGACTGTCCTCTTTGTAAATCAGACTTCTTGATGTGCTTTGTGCAGAATTTGTAAGCAAAAACCTCCTCGTAATTTATATCCTCTTTGTTCTGCTTGTCGTGTGTGCATCTTACTGGTGAGCTGTCTCCTGTCTGTGACAGCACTGTCCCACTGCTGCTCAAGAAAAATCTTTCTTCTCTAGAGCTACACCTGAACTGTATGTGCTAAACCCAAGATAGCATCAGGGTGGACCTCTGCATCTCGTATTTTAGATGTGGGCTGTGTCAGTTTGAGAGGGTTTGGATTTTTTTCAGTTGTAGTTACTGCTTCAGAATGTTAGGTGTAGTGGATTACAGTAGCTAGAAAGCACGCGTGGCAGAAATCGTCGCTGTGCAATTTCAAGGTAAAATGGTAGTATTGCTCAGGTTTTCAGCACATAATCTCCTGAGGCATACAATAAATATCTCACTTATGATGTGAGAGGAACTCCATGGGTTGATTGCCATTGGATTTCAGAGTGAATAAAATAGATGAGCTGTTACAGGTTTATGTTTTGCTGATTTCCAGTTCCTCAGCTGCCCTTACTTTTTTCAGTCTATATGCTCAGTTAAGCATTTGCTCCCAAGACATTAAACAGTTGGCTTTTTTTCACATACTTAAAATGTGATGTCACATAACTCAGGGAATTTCTACATGATTCCAAGAAAGCTGGGATGTCAGGCTTACCCCACAACATCTGCTGTGGTCCGTGGTAGTCATGTATGGTTGAACAATATGCATTTTGTAGGGAGGGCATACTCTAACCCTTAACCATCAGCTCTTGTGGTATAGATGAATCCTATCCTTTCTGTATACTCTTTACAATGTAAATATTTTCTTTCTGCCTCTTTAGTTGCAGAGCTCAAAGAATGAGTATGGCAGAGGGTATGGCAATATCAGCCTTAAACTTTTTAGCTTTCACTTTAATTGCACTCTCTGATCCCCCTCCCTGAGAATTATTTTACAATGTACAGTATGACTTCCTGTAACACACAAACCTGTGCTCCACTACTGGGTGTTTCTTGGTGACCTATGCCTTGGGTTTTTTTCTTTGTATAGGACTGATGTTTCTGGGCACCCCTTTTATATGGCTATTGAACTTGAGAAATACTACCTAGCCTTATTTTTGTGATCTTGCAAATGGTCCACGTGTTAAAATCTCACCTGGCAGTGTAGTTAGACCAGTACTGTTATTTTGTGAAGTGACAGTTGTTCTGATGGATATTTTTGGTTTTCTTCCTAAATAGCTCCAACTAAAATATTTGTCTTTTAAACCTATTTGATCAATTGCAGTGTTCTACAGAACTAAACATATTTTATTTTCTTTATTTCCTACAGATAAAGGGATATTTATTATACAAAGTGAAGATTCCAACTTATGCATTAAAGTGGACACCCTTGGCCTTGTTCTGGAAGACTGCGATCAGCTGTCAAAAGACATGTTATGGAAATGGGTATCCAATCGCCGTCTTTTCAACATAGGCAGAAGTACCTGTCTAGGACTGAACATCAGTAGGCCAGAACAGCCATTGAGCATGCTTGAATGTGATTCAACTCAATACTCATTATGGTGGAATTGTGATGGAAAAGCATTAGTCGGTGTGTCTGAGTACAAATTAGCTCTTGAAAACAGCAAACATATTGTGGCCCAAAAACAATCTACTTATCAGTGGAAACAGTTTATGTCCTATGATGAAGACCTCTGTGAACACCCATTTCAAGGTAGAAGTAAAATCTTGTCATAGAAATATAGATAGGTATAGTTTTCAAAAGCTCTTCTGAAGCAATGTCAGGTACTTGTGATCTGGCTTCTATTGTGGCTTGGGACTAGAAGTTTGGGGTTTTCATGTGCAATGGTTGAAGTGAGCATACCGCCACTTATCCATGAACCAAAAAAAAAAAGCACCAATATCCTTGCAAACTAGGAAATGCACATTTCAAATCCCTCATAAAATAAGAAGGGGAACTAGGGATTTGTAGTTGCCTGTCCTGCAGATTTCTTTGTCAGATAAACCCAAAGAGAGATAACAAAGGATTTGGAATTCCCATCACTGAAAATCAGTCTGTGATCACAGTGTGCTTGAAATGAATGTTTGCAGCATTCAGCACCTGGACTCTGAACATGCCAAACTTTGGAGCAAAGATCAGGCTTTTGATTATTCCCGCTGTACTTCTAGCAAAGGCATAGGAATGTGTGTCAAGATCCATGTCTGCAGACCTGACCAGTTTTCCAGGTATAAGGACTAAGATAAACCCATTGACTACAAACAGCAGCAGACTGTTCCTTGACCCCTTCATTGGCATTTCTGTAGAAGGAAAGACCTAATATTTGCACGGTGTGTCTCAGACTGAGGCTGTTTATTCTCCCCATTTAAACTAGGTGTTTGGGTTGCAGATCTGGTCTCAGTGGTTTCCTCTGTAGCTGGGCTTAGCCTCTGCTTTCAGCAGTCCTTCCTTTGGGACCTGGGATACCTGGTAAAGCACTGTAGCATCAAGACTCTTCTTTAAAACCTGGTAAAGTTTATATTGAGACCAGATAGAAAATATTTAAACCCACAAAAGGTCTTACACATTTGCTATGTACACCCAGGGCGGTGAATGTAGGCCTGCTTTAGCCCTAGTACGGCAACATCTGGGAGAAGAGGATCAGCCTTAGGCGGGTGCTTCTAGTCTAGTTTCAGACTCAAAGTAGTTGACTGCAATTGGCAAAATCTCTTTCAACTCCCGTTTCTGTTTTCTTAGTTTATGCGCATGTAAATGCAAGCCAGGCTGTTAGACCACCAGGCTGGGGGAGTATCTTTAAAGGAAAAAATGTGTATAGATGTGGTGAGAGGTTTATAGATGACAAATTTAGTTTCTTGCTGGGACTTATTATTTATTTTTTTTATTTACCCATGTCCTTTATAGAATCTGTTCATATCAGAAGGCTTTAAAGGGGATTTGCAGTGTGTAAACTGCTTTTTTATATGTGCTCATCCAGTCATTAACTCTGGAAACCTCTAAGAACCTGGTGATATGTACTGATTCTGTAGTTGAAGGACTTTGATCTTTAAGCTGTCAACATGGGATCTTTGACAAACAGACTAACAGTTTCATTGTAAATGTGGTTGTGGTTCTTTGACCTTTTGCAGTGCAGAAGCTCTGAGGTTAAGGAGACACTCATTGAGGTAAAGCTTTTGCAGCTTTTAGTTGCACTGAATTGTCTCCATGTTTTGGTACTCAAAAGTACAATAGGAAAATACTGGAAATATTTTGTAAGGCTTTAATTGATTGTGGCAGCAGGTGTATATAACATCAGTTCTTTAGCTAGGTATTATTCCCCTTGGCATTAAAAACTTTAAAAAAAAAAGGTTTGTTTAATATTCCTTTGTCTTTCACGTTTCCTTTCCCATAGAATGACAAAGAGAGTGGGAAAAACATTAGAAATCCACTTTATAAAGAGTGGGAGGAGCAGGGGAAATAATGCTAAGTTGCTTGTCTATTATAGACAAGTAAAAAAGGAGGTAGAGTTTGCATCCGTGTACTCATTCTGCTAATGATTGTTTTATGTAGTTGCTCTGAAGTGTAAGTGCGAATCTTATATGTTAATTGTTCAGGTTTTGGCTTTGGGGGTTTTTTTGGTGGTTGTGGTTTTGTTGTGGGCTGTTTTTTGGGGATTTTTTCACTTATACTAAGTTATGAGAATGTGGTGACACATTTCATAAGCTTATCATTCCCAAATTCTGTTTACTGAAGTCATGCAGCTCATACTTGTAACGGTGTGTTATCAGTTATAAAATGAAATTAAAAAATAACTTTACACAATTTATCTCTATCATTGCTGCTAAAAATGGGAAGAATGAAATATGGGGGTGAAGAAATTTCTGTGGTCTGCATTCTTTTAATCCCTGCATTTTGTTTATTCCAGAAACATACACCTTGCTGGGAAATTCCTTTGGTTTCCCATGCATTTTTCCATTCAAATATAACAACAAGTGGTATTATGAGTGTACCAGAGATGGAAAGGAATTTGCCTGGTGTGCCACAACAACTCACTATGAACAAGATGAAAAATGGGGGTTTTGCCCAAATGCTGGTAAGGTGGTGTTTGTCTTCTGTCTCCCCCCACCTCCCAAGAGTATCTTTGCTCTTTATTAGTAATTCTAAAACACTCTCTTTTTTGGATTAATTCCTTTCTGTTAGAGGGGAATGTTTTTCTTAAAAATGCAAAAGAAGACTTTAGCAAATTGCATTGTAATTTGTCAAGTTTGGCTTTTGGAGACCCAACTCCTCATCCCAAAAGCAAAACCGGGGGTTGGGGGGGGGGGGGAACAAAGGGATGTTATTCCACACAGCCCACTGATGTAACCCTGCAGCTAAAGCTCTCTCTCCTCTGTTCCAGTGATATATATAGAGCATCTCTGAAGCATGTAAAGTAAAGGCTGTCCTTCCAAAGTCACGTTTTGCTTTTGACTGTATTACATCTTGTACATTCTTTTTCTTCTGTGCATACTTGGGCACGCCTTGGGCCTAAAACATATGGAAGCAATAGCCTTAAAAATAGTTGCTATCAGAAATGTTTTGGATGTATGATCTCCATGGATATTCTAGCTTCTTGCATAAATAAACAAAATAGTATTTTCTCTCAGCAGAAGTGGTTTGGAAAAGGCCTCCCTGCTTAAACTACTTTTCAGATCTTTGTTCCAATGCATCTTAAAACCAGCTGGGCAACCATTATAATAGATGGTATTTTCAGCCTTACTTATACTTTGTAATTACAGTAAGTTTATTGTCTTGAGTATAAGACAGAAGGACACCCAGTGACTGCTTCACAAGTGCTGTGAAAATCACCACCACCTGCAGATCAACTCCCAAGGATTTTATCAGCTGTATTAAATATGGAGCAACATTTTATTCTGTTAGTGCCCTATTTCCATATGTTCATTAACAAAGGAACATGAAAGGAGTTCAGAATTGTTCTTCCACTGGGATGCCATTGTCATTAATTGAATTGTTCAAGTTACTGCATTTCTGATTAGTTTGTGGTCTTGGGCTGTTGGTGATGGGTCTGTTTTTAAGCAGAAACTGGCTGCGACGTTTTTTGGAAGAAGAACCCTGACACAAACCTTTGCTACCAGTTCAACCTTGCATCTGTGCTGACCTGGCGTGAGGCAAGAGCTGCCTGTCAGCTGCAAGGAGGAGACCTGCTGAGTGTCACCAACCCCGAAGAGCAGAACTACATAAGCAACCTAAGCAGTGAGTAGACATTTCTCTGGGGACCTTGTAGTGACCAGAGATGTAGTTAGACTTCCTCTTTACCTGTGAAAAAGGGGTAAGCATTGGAGCTTGTGACGTCTCCCCCATTGCTGCTGGTGAGTCTTTGAAAAAGCAAGGGTGAAGGTAAGCTATCATCTTAACAAACTGAGTGCAGAAGTGGAGGTATGTGCTAAGTGAGGGTATAATTGTCTTAATTATCCCTTCCCACAGAGAGTCCCATTCTTTCTTGCAGCTGTGGTTATGGAGTGTGCTTGGTTTCTTTGGAGGATTATACAAGCATTTACCTTCTCCACAATGTACCCTGGTGTCCCTTTCTCCCGTTAAGCTTCCTTTGCAAGAAAATAAATTATCTTGCAAATGTGAACGATGAGAACATTTTTCAGGCTTGAATTAAATATCCTGTATGGGGGAATATGGCAACTCTGTTTCCATAAATGGATGGTGTTCCTCCTCTGATAAGCCTTTTGTTTTCCCCTGTACAGCAAGCATCTCAGACAAATTTTGTGGAGCCTTCTGACAGCATGCCTTCTGTGGGTATTTTAGCATGTGTGGAGAGGACCAAGTGGAGGAATGGGTGGGAAAGCTGTGATGCAAAAGGCTGCCTCAGGTTTATTTCCCACTGTTTCCCATTATTGCTAATTTTCAATTGCAGGATATAAGCCAACAGGAAGTTTTTACAATTATTTCATCAGCTGCTTGATATGCCTCTAGGCTGTAATGGGACTGAACATGGTTTATGGAAAGCTGGAACAGGCTAGCGTTTATGTAGCTGCTTCTACATTATGTTCTACATATTAACATTCTACATATGTTAGTGCTTCTAGGTTAACTTCTAAGGCTGGCAACAGGAAGGGTTCTGCAAGAAGGGTTTGCAGGACAAGTAGCTTTTGAAGGATGCAGATTTCTGAGTTTATTCCTTCTCTGTGTTGATTAACAAAGTAATAGACGTTTTCTAAGGACAGAGAAAACAGCCTGAACTTTCTGGAGGCCGATTTGAAGTTTTGTTTTATTCCTACTGTAGTAAAGTCAGGACAGCAGGTCTATACCTGTAGATGTTTTAAAACATGGAGAAAGAGTGAAGTATTACTTTATTTTTTCTGTTTCAGGGCAGTTAAATGCCACAGACATGATGCTGTGGACAGGCCTGAATCACCTGGAGGAAGATGCTGGCTGGCAGTGGTCAGATGGAGCACCACTAGTGTTTGTGAACTGGAGAGCAAGTACTTGATGTTCCTCTTGTATATGTTATAGCGGTGCAATTATTTGCTGTCTGTAACTGCTGCTTGATACAAGACTGCTGTTCCTACAGCTGTGTTTGAAAAGTGAATCAAATGGACAAGTGTACTTCTTTTTTCAGTAGGAATATTTATTCACATTCATGAATAAAAGCTCCTAGAGATGTAGCATCAATTGAAATGAACTGTTCAAAGCATTGATCATCTAACCCTTTTGTCATTTACCTTTAAAGGCATTTTTAAGATTCCAGTTGCATATTTAAAAGCTGTTATCTAGCTAGTTTAATGAAAACAAAAGGAGTTTGAGTTTGTTTACATTAACATCCTGTTAAAGCACATTAGCATGAGCTTTGTAACTTGGTTTGCTCCTTGCTGAGTCTGCCCACCAACAGATATAAATAGACACTAGAGGTAATTTCAGCCTCTCATCTCATAGCAGCAGCCAAGGAGGAATTGCTACACATGCATAACTCATGGTCAGCGTTCAGCTGTTCATAGTATTGGTGTTTGGGTGTGCAGAGGTGCATGTACATATGTTCAGTAAGATGCAGAGCACCTTACAACACCATCTTGCAAGAACTGATTTTTTGTATCTTGTGCTTCTCAAAAATGTGTTTGCAGATGTCTCTGATAACCGGTTTAGAGAAAATCATTGTGCAGTGATTAATTCAAAATTGAAATATGGCTGGCAAAGTTATTTATGTGAATCTGGATTGCCTTTTGTGTGCAAAAAATACTTAAATAAGACAGAGCATGAAACACTGGGTAAGTCAGTATTACTGTATCCTGTTCGTGGGTGTGGAGGGAGAACAAGAGAAAGCCACATGAATATAAAGTCAGCAGAACAGAGTCTTAGCTTTATTAAATATATAGGTTTGCAAGTTTAAGTTGAATGCAGTTTACTTTAAGTGATGTAATAACACTTCTGTTTATATGCAGTCCTGGAAAACATGTTGAGAGTCTTGAAGCTAACAAATAATTTTAATATTAGTAGCATTTAATTGGTTCCTTCCATGACCAGAGGCTTACAGAATACTCATTCTCTTTATACTACAATAAAGCCACACTTTTGAGTTTGAAACCAGGTTTTCAGCTTTGAATGGAATTAACCAGTGGCCCACAGTGAATAAACTTGTACAAATGCAGCACAGAATTTGCAGTTATTTTTATGGCATGCTGTACTTCTGATGTACAAAATCACTGTACATATATTTTTTTTTAAGTGTTAATATCATGAGTGTAGGGTAGATAGTACATAGAATGCCTCAGACTCACATTCTGTGGGGAAGTTAAACAGAGAATTGAGTTTATTCAGAGACTAATTCTTGTTTTGATAAGAACAGCTTACATAGGTTCAACTTCTTCCTCATAGTTGTGAAGAAAGTTTCCCCACTTGTTTCAGATAAAGGACTTACCCAAGCTTTTTGTAGGTAATGCATCTGAAAAACCTTTAGCTGGATTTGAATCAGGTTCGGAGGTATTAAGGGAGATACAACCTCTTTTAAATTGAGTAACAGATTCATTAGTGTGTTTGCACTAGTCCAGCAGTCAAAATGGTTGAATCATAAAATAAAGTGGGAGTAATTTCAGTTTGTTTGGTATGTGATGTTACCTAGGGTATGCGTTTTGGCCTTCTTAAGTCATCTTGGTCAACTCTGATTTCAGTGTATGAAGATTAATAAAGTAGCTCTGAATGTGTTATGAACATAGCATAACCTTAGTAATACTATCTTAATATACACAAATTTTGTCTGCTTAATTAAAAGATACATGGAAGTATTATGCCACTCGTTGTGATTCTGGCTGGTACCCACACAATCGCAACTGCTACAGACTTCATAGAGAGGAGAAGAGCTGGAATGATGCTTCTATCTCATGCCAGAGTGACAATAGTGGGCTCATTAGTATATCCTCCATGGCAGATGCAGAGCTGCTCCTTAACTTGCTTGGAAGTGGTAAGTTTTAGGAGTTAAAGTGTTCAGTGTTTCTTGATGTGTTTTGTGATGCTCTTTTGTGCAGCCCTTTAGCAGTTAGCCACTTCAGCACTATATTACGTGGTTCACCTGAATGATGTTTCCCAAACAAAAAAAAAAAAACCACCTGATTCCTACTCTTTTCAGGAGTCTTAAAAATATATAGCATCACCTTCTCTAATAGCCATACTTAAAGAAATTAATCAAACCACAGTGAGGCTATAGTAAATAGACAAGCTGGCTTTTGTTCTTTCCTGTTGGTGGCTGGTCCCTTGCAAAACTGTTGCAAAATACTCTGTGATCATCCTTATGCAAGAATTCTGCTTAGAAGCTACAAGCAATTCAGAGTATCTTTTGCTTTCAAGCTGGCCTTGTCCACACCGAAAAGCTGCTGCTGCTATGTTGGCAGAATCCGTTTTGATGGCAGCAGGGTGTATCAAAGGGGTCCTGCTAGTCCACATTGTCCTAAGAGGTAGTATAATTAAACAAGGGACATAATGAACAAAAGCTCTTTGCAGCAATGCCAAGACCTTTGTTGTCATAACAGCAGCAAAGAAAAGAGAGTACTTTGTGCCTGCAGCTGACATCAGTGTGCTGGCAGAGCTGCACAGTTTGATCGTGAGTTTAAGCTTCCCGGACCTGGGGCACAGTGACATGTTTTATCACCCTGTCCCATCAGCTATGGTTGCAGGATGGTGTGTTAACCCAGCTTTACTGGACATCATCTTTCATTATCATCCCTCCCACCTCCTGTCCTCTTTGCTGCCGTGTCTGTCTTTCTTAGGAGATTAACCACTTCATCATCTTCCTCATCTGTGTTAGTAACCTCCATAGATACCAAATGCAATTATTTCCAGAGATGCTGTAATGGATAGATGCAATTGTTCTCAGCTTGTATTCATCTTCAAAGTCTGCTGCTTCTATTTCATCCCTGCTTCAGGCTTCTCTTCCAGAGAAGGGCTTACATGCCTGAAAGTCTGTCTGCTTTTTCTGGCTGTTGTATCTGGCCAAGTAAGACATTAGATCAAACCACAAACCCTGCCTTTCCTGTTTGCCAGCCACTGTGGCTACAACTGTGCTGTCACTGGAACTTACAAACACCACTCGGAGAAAGCTGAAGCTGAGTATGCCATGAAAGATTGTATATACAAAGAAATCTGTCCCTTCTATGCCAGGCTTTCTCCCACATGCGCTTCAAAAAAGTGCGTGTGCTCTTGATTTGTATTTTTCAGGATTTCAAAGCATATTATTGTGTATATTGATCTATTTTTGCAACAATTTAGCCTTCAAAGGCAGTAGAACATTATCTCAGCAGTAAGTTTTCTTAAGGTTTATACAGCTTTCCCTCCCCCCCCCATCAAAAGAAGGTAATTCTTATGAAAATTCCATTAACAATTTTTAATGGTGGTGTTGATGTTACAGGAGCAAAAGGCATTATTTCTTCACCATTAAAATCTGAACTCACTCTTTTACAGAAAATGTATCTGAAACATGGATTGGGTTATACAGTAAGAACACCTCTGCTGTTTTTGAGTGGTCAGATAGCACCCCAGTAAAATTCTCTAACTGGCACAGCCAGGAACCTAACACCTTTGAAAGACCAGGACAGCTCTGTGTTTCAGCACAAGGACCTGTAAGTTTCCTTTTCTTTTTGAAAGAATGAGACAAACACTTTCATTTGAGCTCATGATAATTTCTCACTGCATATTGTTTTAAACCATGACCTGTATTATGACTGGGTTTTGACTCCTAGTATGTTGTGATAAATGCAATGTAGCCTTTAGAAACTAATGCAGTTTGCAGTGCTGATGCACAGAAAATTAGTCATAGATTTTGAGCTTATGTTCAATAAAGAATGCTTGCCAAATGGAAGAGAACAAATACGAGCAGGTATTTTAATAGACAAAGCGATTTAAAATCCAAGTAGTCTATATCATAATTTATGATGCATCAGTTCTTGCCTTGAAAGCTTCAAGTTTTGACTGTCGGCTGTGTCTGTTTTATCTTCTGGTCAATAAATTTTACGTAGCATCTTTCAGAAGCAGAGAGTAGCCTAAACCTATGTAAAATTACGGAAGTTGACAGCAGTAAGACTGACCCCAAGTTGGTCAGGTGTTGTAAAAGTAGTAGTAATGTTCAGATAACACTATGTCCTGTCTTACTGGTATTCGTGGCCTTGTTGGTTGTGTGGGCTTTGGTTTGGTTTGGTTTGGGTTTGGGGGGTTTTTAAATAATTCGGTCATAAATTTACTTTTATTTTACAATTACAGTACTTAAATTCACTAATACATGACATATGTAAGTAGCACTGTAATCCTTTATTCTTTTTTTGAAGTATGTTTTGTCTAAGTGTGAAAAGTGTATCAAAAAGAGTTTCTGTTATCTCTCTAGAAGTGGGTTCATACTGCAATCTTAAACTCACAGGAAAGCCAAGACAATTACAGTGACCTGGAAAAGTGGGTTTCCATTGGAAGCAGTAAAATTATGGGGTTTAGATACACAAAACCATATTTTACTCAGCTTATAAAACACAAAGGGAAAGGAAGGTTAAGATATGTGCAGTGTGTATAGATATTTGAAAATTATATCATACAAACTTAGTAATATTTTGCATAAGAGCTGTTTAAATATAAAGATTAATCTTACAAAGAACTAAAATAGAAGAAAGTTCCTATCCTGAAAAATGCTCTGGCATGGCCATAGTGTGAATTAATTAAGGTAGATTACATCCCAAACAGTTATTCAAACAGACATTATTGATTTGCAAAGTCCGTCTGACAGTGTTGATAGAAATAAATGATCCAGCTAAGGATAAATAAATGGGGTGAGAAAAATTATTCAGTTTTACTGAAAAGTTAAAATAGGAGGGAGTGTCATAATCTGATGTGTGTATAGATATGCATGACAGTATGTGTATGTACAGAATATGCTTCTTTTTATTCCTTAGGAGGGACGCTGGAAGATTAAAAAATGTGAAGACAGATCTTTCTATGTTTGCAAAAAAGCAGGGGAATTCAATAATGTCTCTCCTGAGCTGGAATCAAGTTGTCCAGAGGTAAGGGGTTTTGTGGGTTTTGTTTGTTTTAAAGCCTTAATATTAAAATAGAATTCTATAGGAAGCCTCTAAGTGTAGCTACCAAACGCATTGTGTAAATAGGTAGATAGTTTAGTTTTTCATTCTAAAGACACACATGTTTTACTAGGAAAAACCTCATTGTTTGCCTTAGAAGTATGTAAACTAAATTTTAATGTAAGATTAAAAGGTTTCTCAAGATGCCTTTGTGGCTTGTTGCATTGCCAGCAGTTGTGACCCAAGTTGCTATTTCTTTCTAGATCAAAAGTGAAAACCCTTTGGTCCACCATCTGTGCAAATAATAGCTGTTATACGATGCCTTATCCCACACATGGTTTTCATACATTGAAATGGAATGTCAGGGTGAAAAACAATCACTTTCATTGACATGGAGAGTGAACTTTTCCACTCCTATATTAGCATTTCTTTTGCCTTCAAACACAAATAGGAAGGAACACAGCTATCTAAATGGGACATTGCAGCAGGTTTTCAGGTTTTTATGCTCTGCATTCTGGTAGTAAAAGGTAATGTGTTGAAGTATGATTTTATTTGCCATAGGTTCCTTTTCACAGCGTGAAAAGAGCAAAATTGGAGACTTTGTATTTTATTCAGAACTCTGGAGGAGTTTTGGGAACCTCCTTTTCTGTCAACAAAAGTCTCTTTAACTTGCTTTACTCTTTAACTCGGTGTCTTCCTTTTTTAATTTCCTGTTCTTTTTCTTGAGAAATCAAGAAACCCAAGCAGTTCAATTGAATTATAAGAAGGTTGAAGCTGAACTGTTTGGAGTTGGGTTCAGTCTTTCCCCAGATGTACAGTGATCAGATCCAGTATCTGGTCATACTGTTATGGAGGCAGGAGTTACTGCTTGGTTCTAACTTAGCATGTCCAAGAGTTTAGTATAACTGCCTTTATTTCATTTGGACCGATGTACTCCATCACTCATAAGTGCTGTGTGTTATTAGTGTAAAAAAGCTTTGTCACAGTCCTCCCCAGGTGGAAAATGTGCAGAGTATCCAGACTTCTAGTTGTACTCGGGAGCTTGACAGCACTTGAACTTCTGGTACCTCACAGGATTGAGACTCAAGAGTTAGAGTCATAAGTAGTTTGGTCTGCTCTGGCAAACTTTTTCAGGATAAATGTCTGCTTGTTGATGTTTCACAGCCTGTAAAAATATTTGCTGGATCCTGTTGTAGTCCCTTGGTTTTGATAGATCCTTTTCTTTCTAAAGTGAAAAGTTGTATTCATTTAATCAAAAGAAATTGGTACTAAGCTTACTCAAAGCTACATTTCATTTCAGCCATTTTGTATTCACTCGCTCTTTTACTGTTTAGTGTATCTGTTGTTCTTAGTTATTGACCTAATTTTCTCAGGCTAAGTCTTTATTTTGTCCAGATTTACCCTTTTTCCCCCCCATTTTTCTGTGGCTGCCTTACCTTAGATGTACACAGTGTCTATTTTCTCACATTTGATCTATTGCTTTGTTAAACTCGTACTGTCATTCACGTTGGATTGCTAGTAGATTCTCAGGGAGCTTTGGCCTCCAGCGCAGTTGTTTGCTTTTCTAAAGCTTTATAGTCTTATGTGTTATTACTGAGCTTTCATCTCATGTTGATTTTATAACTTGTGCATCAGATGAACTGGCCTTTAACGTTTTCTGTGGTTCTGCTGATGGCAGTTTTTTGCAGAATGTCCGTATCAAGTTACCAGAAACCTGAGCCTTCTTTTTTTTTTCCTTACTCCTCTGTCATCCTGAGACGTAAAAAGTGCTTAGCACTTTCTTCCCTTAGCAGGTCAAATATTCTTTTTAGTCAGCAGGCTGTTACTGAGAATAAATATTTTATTGCAAAGGTCAGGTTCTCTGGCCAGTTTTCCCCAACACTGAAATAACTGCTTTAAACATTTTCTTTCAACCACCTTTTGAAACAGGTTGTGGAGCTGTCAGCTGCTTAATAATCAAATTGGAGGTTTCTGTGTGCAGAACTTGGCTGTGATTGTACTGGTGATTTTCTCCAGTCCTCTGCACTGTGATTAGTGCATCAAAAGATAACAGTATAGTACTAAATCAAGCATCTGTCTTTATGGCTGCTGTAATGGGAGGGAACTGTACTTTTAAGAAGAGAATCACTATTAAGGCTACAAAGCCTTGTAAAGAGCAGAAGGACAGCTGCTCATAATAAGGGTCCATTTGGCCTCGTGTTCTGCCTCCACAGGTGATGTTTGGGGAAGAGCAGGACAGGATAAATACAGATAATACTTCCCCCAGTTTTATCTTGATCCCCAGCCAGTCAGGGGATTTCCTGAGCCTTTTAAGGTTTATGGTATCTAACAGCCCACACCGGGCATGTCCTCCAAGCGCTTGTCAAGTTTCCCCTTGAATTCATGCTAGCTCTTCACATTCATATAACTTAGTAAAGAACATTATAAATATACTACTCTTTGAATTAAAAAATGCCACCTTCTTTCCATGTTGAACCTTCCTTCTGCTAGCTTAGCTTTGTTTGATGTTCCTGAAGTCTCATGCTGAAGTAGCTGTCCACCTTCATGGCACCCATCAGTTTGCAGGCCTATGTCTAGTCTGCCCTCCCTAGAGCATCTCCTTTTCCCAAGCTGAAGAGTCACAGCCTGCGCAGTTACTGCTTATGTGGATGCAGCTCCATGCCTTTCATTATCCTTGATGCCCATCTTTTCTAATATCCTTTTCACACGGTATAAGGATTTAAACTTTAGTAGCTTTTCCAGACTGCCATCTTGTCTCCTTCGCACAGGGAGTTTCTTGTTTTCATTTGTGCATTATTAATGTACTCTTTCTTTACCCACATTTTCAGTGACCTTGAGTGTAGCTACTCTTGAACCACGGCAGAAAGGAAAAGGGATATAGGGATGTCAGTGATGATCAGACAGAAAGTACAAAAGTGGATCAAGCTTTTAACAAGTATATAATAATTAATAATCTATACAATAATGTTCGTTTCTTTTAAGGGATGGGAAAGACATGGTGGATATTGTTACAAAATCGACAGTACCCCTCGAAGTTTTGAACAGGCTTCCAGTGGTTATTTCTGCCCATCTGCACTTGTATCAGTAACAAACAGGTAGTTAATCCTAGTTGACAGCAGATACCTCTAACAAGAGCTACTCTAACTTTATAAAGTATTGCATGGCAAAAGATATTACTGGTATGAAATAATGTTTGTGTGAGAGGCAAGCCTAATTACTAACATTGGCTAAAAGCTGTGCTTTGCTTTGTTGTTTAATTGAAAATAAATTTAGTAAAAAGCAAATGTTAGGCTAATAAACACTTGTAATAATATGCACACATGAGCTTGCAGGAATCTAAGCAAAATGCTTTCTACAGAGATATGTAACACCTTTAAGAAACTTCATCATTGCACTTGGAAAAGATACTGAAAAATGAAAGTATATCTGATTGTTATAGCCAAAATATATAAAATTTTAATCTAAATTAATGTTTTATAAATGTTTCTATTGATGTTTGCATTTTATGCAGAAACTAGGGGGAGAAAGTAAATATTTGAAAGCATCTGAGGTCTGTCCTCCCTTGCTTTGTTCCTCTTTACTTGTATTCAAGCTTCAGCAAAAGCTTTCTCCTCTTCAGATGTCCAGATGCTTGTGTTTTCTCTGCTCTTTTTGTGATTTACCCTTTATGTTGGATTCCCATTAAAATTCAGGAAATAGTGATAGATATATTTCATACATGCTTTAACATCCATATAAAAAAAAAAGGAGGAAACCTCCCCCATATTTAGGATGTGGGAAGTACGTAACCACCAGCAATCAGTGAATGATAGCTAGAAATTTTAGGCATATACAGGCTACCCCACAGAAAGATTTATGCTGGGAATTGGGCCGGCCAGGTGGTTTCAGACCATGCAGACAGCACTGTACTGTGATACAACAACAATAGGATAAAGGGGGTAAAGCACAAAGGACAGACTTTCACAGCTGAGCATTTGCAGCTCAGATGTCACAGGGAGCCGAGGGCATTCTCCACACCACTGGAAGCACATCTGCTGTCTTTTTCTGCTTACTTCTCCTTACTTGATTTTTGTTGAGTGTAGGCATCACTGTTTATGATGTTAGTTTCCAGTTCCAATGCTGGAGTGGCAAAAAAAGCTAGTTGTTACTTTAACTTTCTTTTTTTTAATTACTGCTGAGTTTTGTTCTGTTGTGTAAAATGCAAAAGTTTTTCAGTGTATTGCTCCATCAATCCTAAAATATTCACTAAAAAGTAGGTTGTAGAGGAAGGAGAGTTGGTACAAAAACAAGAACACACAGGGGAAATAAAAACAGAGTTTTCAGTCACTCTCAGTGTTAGCCATACATTCAGATTTTTACACTAATGGCATCCTTATGGTATTTAGCCGTTCTTTTCAACAATGTGTGAAATCAAAAGGTTGTATACTCTTTATCAAACCAGGAATTTACCTTATATATTTTCATAGGAATCTGATTAAATGTGCTCATAAAGTGAAGCATTTTTGTATAATGCTATACCAATTATATATGAATAAATTATGTTTAAGTGACAAATGGGTTACTATATGCAACAATTACTACTTGCAAAAAGGTATAAATGTCTCATATCACTTTAATGAAGAAATTAAAGAAAGAAAATGTGATTCTTTCCACAGTCAGATCAGCTTGTGCTTTGAGTCCTTCAGGTCTGGTTTCTTAGTGCTGCTTTTTGTGTCTGGTTCCAGTAGGATACATATGTGCAGAGCTTTTTCTTTTCTTTCTTCTGTAGCGTTTTCAGACTGCCATCTTTTCTCCTTCATACAGGGAGTTTCTTCTTTTTATTTGTGCATCATTAATATATTATTTCTTTACATCTTGTAGTTCAAGCAGTGATCTTATATCTCAATCTACAGTCCCTTTTGTGTGCCCAAACGCTGGGAAAAATACCAGTAAAAATCATGATTTATGCTGCAGACTTGTGCCTGAAGTTCCCCACAGCATTCTATAAAGAAAATTAAGTACCTCTTACATTTTTTCTTTTCTCACATTATTTATATAATTTCATGAGAGCTATTCACTGAAATACCAATTGATCCACTTTATTCTAACAAACCTTTTGTCTTGATTATTTTATTAAGGTTTGAGCAAGCTTTTATCAACAGCATGATCCAGAGCATGGACAAATCTGAGAGAACTTATTTTTGGACAGGCTTGCAAGACCTTAACAACACAGGAGAATACTTTTGGCTGAGTACAGAGGGAAGGAATCACTCCGTGAGCTACACAAACTGGAACAAGTACCAACCACGTGAGTAACATACCAATAATAAAAGAAATGGCTGGAGGCGTTGGGCAGTGGGCTCTTTCCCCTGTCACCAGTGGCTTATATTTTGTGAGCAGAACCCTTCATCATCGTTCATTTACAAACTCATCAGCCAAGGCAATCTTACAAACTTGCTGCTGCTGAAACCATTTGCTACTTTTGTAAGTTCATGGAGGATTTATCCAGAACCCAATGTCAATAAAACAGTTGCTTCACCAAAAATTCACAAAACTCAAATGCCTTATTCTGAGACTCAACACTTATCCCCATCTCTAGGCCATTCAGGAGGATGTGTGGTTATACGAGGGCAGGAGCCCATTGGTTACTGGGAGGTGAAAAGCTGTGAGAACTTCAAAGCAATGTCACTGTGCAAGCAAAAACTCAACTCTTACGAAGAACCTGAACTTACTTTTCAAAAGCATTTGAGTTCCTGCTATTTCGGATGGGAGTCAGAGGCTCATCTGCTCAGCTGCTACAAGGTATGCAACAAACTTGCTTTGGATTTTTCTGATGCTACATACCAGCTTAGGGATAGCCTGTTCCTAAAACGTTTTTGGTAAGGCGTTATTTCTTTCAGCCAGCAAACAAAAATTAGTTGTTACCATCCGTCACTGCTTTTGAAAGTGAATGGAAGTCCTAAGAGTCAGAACTATATTTGGAATTCATATGGCTTTGGTGTAGGAAAACCTGTGAATAATAATTGATTTTTATGGGTTTCTGAAACAACTGCTCTCCAAAACCAACAGCATTTATGACAGTGTTTATTTTATTGCAGATATTTCACAATGAAAAAGTTCTAATGAGAAGAACATGGGATGAAGCAGAAGCGTTATGCCAAGATTTTGGAGCACATCTTGCTAGTTTTAGCAATATCTATGAAGAGATATTCTTAAACAATTTATTATATACGATTTTTGATAGGTAAATCTGCATTTTTAACACCAATAGTATTTATCTTGATAATAGTAATATGTAAAAATAATCCACAACTTCAGTTCTTCCGTCTTTTTTACTACTGGCTGAAGATGTTTTCAGCTTTTAAAATATAATTCAGCATTTCTGTAGGAAAACCAGAGTTTATTGCGAGAGTACTAAAATGTTAACAAATACATTGCAGAATGATTTGTTGAATTCAATAAAAAATGACTATGTGTGTTTGCACTATTTAAAAAGTAATTTCTGATATATTGAAGGGAAAAGTGCATAAGAAATGACACTTTTCTTTGTTTCCATCATAGGACAGAAGAAAGACAGTTCTGGATTGGATTTAATAAGAGAAACCTGCTTTCTGGAGGGACATGGCAGTGGTCTGACAGAACACCTGTAACTATCTGCATACTGTATATTTCAGAAACCGTTCAAGTCATATCTGAGCCTAAGTTCACAAAAATAAGCCTTGTGATCAAATGTTGGCCAGGAAAACTGTTTGGTTTTCATGTCCACATAGTCCAAGTAATTGTTAGAATAGGATTAACAGTACACAACTATGAGAATAGCAGCCTGTGCAAAAGGGCTGTGCAACTGTGGAAGGAATTTGGTAGGATTATGAAGTTCTGCATATGTGTGCTTTCCTGCAAAGCACGTCGTGTTTAGCCTGGGACCAGGCATATGCAGAGTGAACATTTGTATATAGAGATATATATTTACATCTATAGACAGGCACACACATTGGAAAGCCTTTGAGCTGTGCTTACCTATGCTTTATTTGTTCTGCAGCTGTTAGGTTGATGCCTGCATTCAGAGCTGAGTCTTTCCTTTTTTAATACCACTTTTTATTTTGCATCCTTGAGCACTAATGGTTAGTACCTGGGGTTTAAACATCAAACAAGAAGGTAATTGGATTTCAGCCTCAAAGAGCAGTGCCAGCTCTGCCATTGTTACTTAAGCCATTTCAGAATGCAAATGTAAAGTTCAATCATGCAACATGTTGAACCTATGTGGGCAACTAGTGCTAATCATGTAAAAAAATTGTTAGGTTTCATAGCTATTCAATTATTCTTACACAGATGAAGTCTGATATAAGATAGGAAAGTTGAGGACATTGAGAGAACATGACTGTTGATCCTAGTTCTTGGATTCTACCACCATAGTTGAGGTGGAACTCTAGTTGTTGCTTATGACTTTCTTACCATAGACTCATCTCCAAATGCTTCCTTTTTTTCTGTACTGAGAGTTTTAAATGCTTCATCTGGAATTGTTGGCAAAAGATAACGAATGTGCCGTTTTCAGGTTGTATCTTCATTTCTGGAGGGCAAGTATGTTGAAGATGATTCAAGAAACTGTGGTGTGTTCAGAGTAAATCGAACGGTCTTCCCAGCACACTGCAATGAAAAGCGTGAATGGATATGCAAAATACCAAAAGGTGAAATGTTAATTAACATACATTGTCTGTTATACCAATTACTTGCAATTCAGGAGAGTCAAGGAAAAAAAAATACCTAAAAGCCTGCTCTTTAGCCGCATCTGGAGTTCTCCTCATTGGTTTTCTATGTGAAATCATAGCAAAAATGTATGTGAACAATAGGGTTTCTTGGCCAGTTAGCACATCTAACATCCAGTCAGATCAAAAATGGATAGCAATGATTAGCAGTTAGTTAACATGAGTTAATCACATTTCTTATTTATAAAGGTTACTAAAAATGTTGTTTAGTAAATGGCATTTATTTTACTGTATTCCATGTTAAGCTCCTTTTTTTGTCCCTGAACAAGAATAGCGATATTCCTAATGTTTTTTATTGAATCCTTACCATGCAGAGAAAGCAATTTCCATGAAACACCACTTTACATTCTAAATCAGCAATGTTTTAATGTATCTGTGCATTTTTGCAGGTGTTAAACCGAAGAACCCAGATTGGTACATAGCTGGTATGAAAACATTTTCTTTTTCAAATCTTCACACATTGTAACTTCGAAATACAATTCAAGTCACTGGTAAAAATAACAAAAATGTCAGTTAAAAATGTACATTAAAGAATTTTGTAGAAACTAATCGCTATTGGTCAAAATCTGCACTCCTTTGCTTAATAATACTGAAGCATCAGATACTGCTTCGATTAGGTAAAGGAATGTTGCCAGTAATCAGACAAGAGTTTGATAACCTCTCCCTTGCATTAGATCTGCCTTTTTGCAATGGTTAGGCAACTCATTTAATATTACTGCATTACAGAATGATTTTTAAACATATACTCATAGTGCATTTTTAGTGCTTCCCCTCCTGCACCCCCCCCCCCACAAATTTGTGTGTTAAATATGGTTCTGCTGTTAATTGTGGCATATTTGTCTTCTGACACATGGCTAAAGGCAGGCCATAGTGGTTACAAAGAATAGGACTTGAAATGAGTTTCTACCACTGCACACCACTGACACTTCCCATTGTTTTCTAGAGCTGCCGTGGTCATATTACCAAGGAGCAGAATATCTCTTCCATGTCAGTCAAACAGACTGGGAAACGTATGAGTTTGTCTGTGGCTGGCTTCGCAGTGGAATGGCAACAATAAATAATTCTGGTGAACAAGCCTTTATTCAAAATAAAATTAAGAAGGTAACAAAAACTACTCCTTTGAAGAACTAAACCCTCAGGCAGTAACTGGCTATTTTCCGCTGCATCTTTTGGAATGTCTGCTTGCTGGCTGCTGCAGACAGAATCCCAAACACATTTTACTTTAGAAATAATTCTTTTGCTGTCTTCATTTCCCACATCCCTTCCTGAAGCCCTATTTAGCTAAAGAAGCCAGTAACGTATCAGAATCATCTCTGCTAATGTGCAGGTGGGTGGCTCTGCCTCAAAAGACCCTGAAAGGTTTTAGCATGGAATTTGAAATCACATTTTTCACTGTTTCTTCAGAAACTGTAATGCGTAGGCTGAGTGCTGTGATTAGAAAACTAAACTCAAGGGGCAGGCAATACCAAGTTGAACAGCATTCCTGGATCTCTTCTTTGTCAGAAATGTGTAATTCCTTCATTTGTGACTGCTGTATAAGGTGTAGGCTGTTGAAATCCTAACTGTAACTCCAAGGACAGTGTGGGTGCCATAATATAGGCTGCACTTAAGTTCTTTCTGGAAAAAAAATTGTGCTTTTCAGGGTGGCTTTTCCAGTATCCTGCACATTCAGAACTTTGTTGTTGGCAGCTCTTTTCCAAAGACCCCAAAACTGTGACTATTGAGTGGCTAACCCTGAAAGTAAAGCCTGTTCATAGCTTAAGGCAGAGTCAAGTCAGCACAGTGGGTGTTTGAATTACATTATTTCTGTGATTTTCCATAATATTTTGCCTTTTAGGAGTGAAGGTCTAGAGGCTTCCATGAGAGCAACAGTTGGTCTGGAAAGGATCATTAGAAATCTCTTGTGTGAGATATACAAACTCAGTAAACATTCATAGAAAATGTCTTGGAAACATTAACAACCAGCAGTATATTAATGCTAAAAGGAAATATTTGCTACTGTATTTTTTTAGGAACTAGGGAAAACCAAATTCCAGTCTAAGTGTACAGTCCTTTTCGAGCCAGATAGGCTGCAAATTAATAAAATCATAAATTCCTACTTTACAGCAGATACATCAGCAGTCCAGTGGAAATGGGGCTAAATAATGATCTGCTTACATCAGTAACATTACTGAAGTGACATAAATTAACATGGGCAGGATTTAGCACCTGTTCTTCCCATTGGAACCGAATAGAAATGCTGTTAGTCTGAATACAGAGTCTGAGTTTAGAGTTTGTTAATGCTTTGGTAAGAAGACAGCAACAGCTAAACATATGGCAAAATGTGTTGGTTTTTTTTAAAGCTTTCAAACAGTGATGTTCACTGGTGGATTGGATTGCACGCCGAAAACTTCAGTGGTGAATTTCGGTAAGAATACTTCAGCTGCCATCAGTAGCACTTGGCATGCCCTGTTTGCAGGCTGCCATTCAGTCTGATGCACTAAAATGGTTTGATAACTGAGTGGGATATTCAAGAGATAACATTGGTTCTCATTAAATATAATTCATAATATGTTACGGTTAATTTATCTCCGTGTTACAGTATTTCTTCCAAAAGGGTTACGAAAGAGACAAGCCAAATGCATGAATATCAACCTTGTTGTTGGTTGTCTGATTATTTTTTTTTTTTAATGCTTAGTTAATAACAGGGCCCTTTTTACCTTGTATTTCCTTTACAAATGCTTGTAATGGAGGGTATATTTTTAGGTAAAGATAGGAGAGGGTGTAACTTCACTCTTAACATTTCTGTGCAGCTGGAGAGATGAATCACCAGTAACATACCAGAACTGGAATGAAGGGAGGGAAAGACATCAGGAGAAACCAGGGAAAAGATGTGGCTACATTTCATCAGAAACAGGTTTATTTCATATTTCCTTTTGCTGCTAAGTTGTTGGCCAAAGGGATTGTATATATTTTATAATGCTCTGAGGAAGTGCAATCTGTATTCAAGTCCCTGGTTATAATTTGCATAACTGCTTTTATGGTTATGAAAAGAATAGTGAAATATCATTAATATGCCCAGAGACTAATCTGTAGGATTTAATAGTATATTAATAATTCCAGTTCTCTACTATCAAAAGACAAAGATTCCAGTGATACTGATACTTCAGTTTTACTTAAGAATCTGTTATGTGGCACAGCAAAAATGTTAATGCATTGCTAGTTTTCACAGTTAGTTTTCACATAACCAAATGAGCCAGATGGGCTGAACAGCAATTTTTCCTACATTTTTAAACTGTTTTTACATCAGCATACAGCTTCAAATACTCAGGTTTCTAGCTTATTTCTGATCCATCGAAGTCATGTCCTGTGCCCCACCTGCTGAGGGATTTTGATGTACTGTGTTCTTGGTGCTGGCCTTTACATCACCACATAGCTCTGTGTTTTCCTATAGTAATTAAAAAATAAAATAAAATACAATGCTGCTGGTTCCAGTGATTTCTGTCATCTCACAGTGTCTGTTTTCTGAAGATCTGCAAGTCGTATGATAAAGTAAACATGTCAGGTTCCATGGGAAGAAGAAATACCCAGCTTTGTATTTGTGAGAAGAGCTGGAAAAAAAAATAACCCAGTTGCTGCTCCCTTGTAATCTCAGCCTCAAAAGCCAAAACTGAAGAGACTTAAAACCTTCTTTTTTTTTTTTTTTCCCCACATGTAATCTTGGGGGTTTCATTCATGACTTTCAAATCGTTAAGTTTGGCGTTACTATAGCTAACATCAGACAAAAGGAAGAGATGCCCACCCTAACCACTCAGCTGGCTGGCAGATGGGAGCTGGTCAACAGCTTGTTCAGTGCTCTGAAAAATGTATTTTCCTCCTAAGCACGTCAGCTTTTTATGTCAGTACCTGGATCTTGCCAAAAATTTTCAGTATTAAGGCTGTCGAACTATTTTATCTGGGAGGCATCATTTCTATACTTTAATTTTTTTTCAAATACATGACCGTACAGGCATATGTTATGTGACTCAATGTAGAGCAATTGGTTAAATTCAATAAAATCAAACTGGGGATAAAAGTATGAGCCCCATGGACCATCAAATCCACTGTAATGTGATTTGTCCAAATGTATTTGATGTGGAATGTCATCTTACTCAACCACTAAAGGATACCCTTCTTAACAACGTCTAAGCTACCTAAGGAAAAACACGTTCCAATTCTTAAGCCAGTATTGAACTGTGATTTTTCTTTTTACACAGGACTCTGGGGTGACGAAAACTGTACTGTCTCTCTTCCCTGTATTTGCAAACGTAAATTTGCATGGAAAATAGAGAAAGAGATCCCAAAAGACCAGAGCCAACAAGGAGTATGTCCCAAAGGCTGGCTGCACTTTGGATTGAAAGTATAACATTTTTTCTGCTGTTTGATTATTCAAAATGCTTTCCATGTTTATGGCAGAAATGGGACACTTAAAGATTATTTAATGTTTGAAGATTTTCTCCCTTTTTGAAAGCAGGGCCCTTAGGCTTTAACTACTGAAACAGTGATAAAGAGGTTTGGACTGATTAAGTAGCTTTTCACAGAGAATAAGGTGCCTTAATAAGGTGTCAAAAATTTTACTTTAGTTCAAGGAAATGAATACTCAGATATGCAAGAGCTATCTGAAGTGTATTTGTGCATTTGGCATGAAAAACATGCTTCATCCTCTCTTTTCCACTTACGACAATTTGAAGAGTCTTTTATGCTCTCAAAACAGATCTCTGACCCCTTGTTGTACTAAATGGATCCCTAACTGCTGTCATCCTTGACAAGATGCTTTTTCAAATAGAGCTTATCAAAGATAATTATAAAACAAAGTCTATTTGCAATTGAACGTCAAAAGGCAATTATTTCATCACTCTTCTCATAAATACACGCATTCCTTAACAGCAGTATGCATGGAGGTGGCCAATTTATCCCAGTGCTGAACTGCAGTGACCACAAGGATAAATTTAACCCAGACTGTGTTTGCCTTGAAACAGCTGATTTGAATCCAAGCCTGATCGCAGCTGAAAACTGATACCAAGCATGTTGGAGAGGTCCATTGCAAGGACAGAAACTAATGAAATATTTGATATTAAGTGAAATGTTTTAGTGATTACTTTTGGTGATTGATAAATAGTTTTTAAAACAAGCCCTACTTTTTTGTTTGCTTGTTTTTTGAACAGTGCTTTTTGATACAAATTCCAAAGGATCCAGAGCATCTAAGGAACTGGTACTCTGCACAAGTGTTTTGCAGTAGCTATGCTGGGTCACTCGCTTCCCTTGAAGATGAACTGGAACAAGGTTGAGTACTGAAAATATTGTTAAATAAATAAAATTTCTTCTTTGTTAGGATGCTGTGGTAAAGTTTCATCTTGGATAGTGATTTAGGAAAAAAGATCATTCAGATCCTACTCATGGTTCCACTGCTTTAAACATATTAGCTTTTCTCTTGCCCAATTTCCCAAAATATAAAGTTTTAAATATTCACTGAGCTGTGTGACAGGTACATTTTGAGGAGTAGTTATAAGTTCTTTTGTGTTTACTACCATGCATTAGAAATACAAAAATACAATGAAATGCCCATTTAAGAATTTGATATGTAAAATTTATATATTATGAATGCAACGTCATACTATTATGATGTTATTATCCCATTTTTTTCCTTTACTAGCACTTAAAACCTGAGCTGTAATACAGCACATAAGCACAGTGCTAGACCAGAACTGTCAGAATTAAATGTCAGTACTTTGGGAAGTATTTATATTCCCTGTTTACAAAAATCTGGGATTAAATTGTATACATTTGTAAAATCACTTATTTGGAGGTGGGATGAATCTCACTGGCTATCTTTAGTTGAGGAATCTTACTTTCAACTAAAACTGAGCAAAGCTTTTTCAATGGGACAGTACCCTGAACTAATACATAAATTGTTTAAGCTGCTGTGAACATTTCTGGAAGACTTCTTAGTTAGTGGACTAGACCTTAACAGAAATTAAGCAGCTTAACTGAATTTATAGTTAGATGACACTGAAATACTGCTCATGTTCTTACTTCCCAGTACCTATGTAGTGTCCTTGATTAGTAATGACATTTTTCAGTGCTTTAGTGTGTTGGAAGAGACTTCATCTATCCATAAGTGGTTACCTGTTAATATTTTTTCCTGTTTCATTTTCCAGCTTTCATAACAATGAATCTGTTTGGACAGAAGACTAATGTTTGGATAGGTTTCCAGAGTGATGATTATGAGAAGTGGGTGAATGAAAATCTTCCGATGTATTCCAACTGGTCTCCAGTTGAAGTAGTGCGTGTGAGTATTTCCAGGGAGTTTAAGGACAGCATGAAGTTGGTTTAGCTATCAAAATCATGTCCCAAAGACAAGGCCTAACTTGTTAGAGCAACTTTGTCTTCTCTTAATCTTTTCCGCTTCAGACAGCTGTAGGCACAAATTTATGGGTATAACTACAGGTAGCAAAAAAGACACCATCGAGACAGTTATTTATGCAATTTGTGGCTATAGTCATTTTCTCTTGCGGTTGCTTTTAAGCACCAAAGTTTGAATTATATGGTTAGTACCATATGCTGGGGCTGAGCAAAATTTAGGAATAATATCCTGAATTTGATATTTCTGTTGTTTAACACAGTGTTAATCCATACTTGTTTCAGCATTTGAGTTTATTCAGTGAAAGTAAGCTTATTGTTTCAAATTCTTTTTATTTGTATGTGTATTGTATATTCATTGTTCTACCTAAATATTTGTAATAGTGACTTTCATATAATTATTCTTTCAACTTTACTGTAATAATTATCTATTGGTTTTACACAGTGTCTTTTTTAATATAAGGCTCTGTATTGATTGCAGAGACAGCGCTATAACAGTGCAAACGTCGAAGAACAACTTCCACTATGTACAGTGGTATCAAATAACCCTAATTTTTATTTTACGGGAAAATGGTACTTAGAAAACTGTCAGAAAAATTTTGGGTTTGTCTGCCAAAAGGATCAGGGTAAGGTTTTGTTTCGCTTTGCTTCTCTTTTCTTACTATACTGAATCATTGCACTTTATTTTCATCCAGAAGCAACTTGTTATAGGTGTCTGTAAAACCAAGAACATAAGAGATTTCTAAGATTGGTTGATATTTAGACAGACAAGCTCTACACTAATTAATTAATAGCTGTGATGTAGAATTAATTTCTAAAAAAAAAAAAAAAGAGTTGTTTTCTTTTGAACTTTGAGCTTTTTGTTGCCTATCTTAGAATCAGGAACAGAGATGAAATTTCATGTTTTCTGTCATGGCAGCAGAGTTACTGCATGAAATCACAAAAGGAAAAATGAGGGTAATTTTGAAGAATATATGATTATTGGGGGAGGGTTTGCAATGTTAGATTGGAATAGACTCTAGAAAATGTATTTCTACGAACAGTGCAGATGGGCAGGTCGATCAAATAGAGTTTGGCTTTTCTTTTCACACTTGTCTAATTTTATTACCATAAAGTTCCCTTGTTAGAAGCACGAAGCTTTTGCGGGGATCATGCATTGTTTGGTTTCCTCCAGTCACATTCCTGTATTACCTCTGGGATGGGGAGCTGCTGGCTTCCCCAGGGTGCTGGCGCAGCTTTAGAGCCCTGTACCAGGGGCAGCTGCAGACCTGCCAGTGGGAAGCTGTCAGGGCATGTTACTGGAATAGATCAGTGGCAAATTATTAACCGTAAGCAAAGGAGGGGGCTGTAATCTGAGCCTGTACAGAGTGTTCTTGGATGCTATACGTACTGCAGGGGTGGTTTAATATGCCTCATCTTCATACATCACCTCTTAGTTAAGCCCTGAGTCTAAAGAGATGATCTCTCCTGCTGGCTGCCTAGGAGGTGCAGGAGAGTGAGTCAAGAAGTAGAATAAACAAATGAAAACTTTGGGCAGTGCTCAGGTGTGGTTGTAGCAAACCATAGCCATCATTTATTGTGAACTGCAATTGCTTGGAGTGCTGGAGTAATCCTGCACAAGCTGTAGAAAAAATAAATCAATATATTTTCCTGCTGTTTTGTTTCATTTACCTCCTGATCATTTGTATTGTAACCCCTTGTGGCTGTTTCGGGCAGATGGAAAAGGCATTCAAAGGCAAGAAGGAAAACTATTGCCATAGGGCAGCCAGACTACAGGGCACTGGGAGGAAATGGGCTGCAGTGGGTGTTCAGGGAACTCCCCATGTTTTCCTGGCTGGCTGAATGTAAGATGTGAATGTATCAGTACCTGGAAAGAGGAACTGGTGCTTTGCTTCTGCCATCTTGTCCGCATCCCATTTCCCCTCTTTAGAATTGTTTTCTGTAGGAAACTAAAATTAAATAAACCAGGAGCTAATCTGAACTGGGTTCTGATCTCTTAGTGGTGCTTCTGTTAGGACTGTGGCAGCATTTTACTGAATTTCCTGCCTTTTCTTTCTTTTCTTTCTTTTTTTTAAGCAGTGATGTGCACTGTGAAAGCTGGAACAAAACAGAGTGCTTCAGTTAGCTCAAGAGCAGAACTTTCTTTGCTTAGAAATTTATAATTTTAAATTATTTATGCATGACAAATAATTAATTAATTTACTTTTTTAAGATGCTTGACTCTTAGTTATAAGGGGAACCACGTCTAAAAACCACTCCAGCTCATAGTACCCCACTTCAGTTTGTAATCACAGAGAAGTTTTATAGACAGGGATAATTAATCCAAATTGACAAACAGGATTAAAACTGAGGCATTGCTTTATTTTAATAGTCTTGCTTAAAATATACTGTGAGCATTCGTTACATTAGTAAAGGCATTTGCTTCCTGTAGGAAAGCAAGCTGCACCAGCATCGCAGATGTGGTTGGGATGGAAATGGTCTCTTTCTCCTGACCTTTTTTTCTCATGGGAGGCCCTCTATTTCTTAAATCTAAAAAGTCCACTGCTGCCCTGCTTTCTTTTCTTTTTAGACATTGCTGTGTTAGTTTATCATCAAAAAGAGATTGAAGCCTCTATGCACAAAGGATTTCTCTTCAAGTGCCAGTACTGTGGTCTTCCATACATTTGCTCATGGGTAGTAAAGATGAGCTCAAGAACCTCCCAAGCACTCGTACCACAAGCCACAGTTTGTCATCCTCTCATTGTGCCAGTACAGCCATTTGTGAGGCCAGGCTTTCTGCTGTAAACTGATCTTGGAAATTACTAAAAATAATGTGTCAAAAATGAAGTAATCTAAATTACATGCAAGGTAGCTGGGGTAAGGGCACTGTGCAGCCCACGGCGGCTGGACATCTGGGTTATGACCAGATCCCAGGTGATTTCTTACTGACCTTCAAGCTGCTTGCTTTAAAAAATGAGTAACTACTTTCTTTTTGTTTGTAACAGACACATCCAGACATGTCATCAATGCATCTGAAACATACCCTGTGCCGGATACCTTAGAATATGGAAACAGAACATACCAACTCTTACGTGGGAATTTCACATGGTCTTCGGCTTTAAAAACCTGCATGGCAAATGGCGCGGAGTTGGTCAGCATCACAAACCAGTATCACCAAGCTTTCCTCACAGTCATTGTGAATCGCCTGGGATACAACCACTGGATCGGGCTGTTCACTTCAGATGTATGTATTGGACTCCCTGGCTGTGAATTTGTTTGTGCAAAGGAGTGTTTCCAGAAGCAAGCTAATGAGCTGTGTCACTCATTTGAAGTCACAGGAAGTCTGCATCTGGAAATGAAACCCAGGAAAATTTGAGCCCTAACAAGTTTTTGTAACATAATGTGTAAATCTAATGAAAGCCAGTATGGTGTTATGAGTACTGAAAACTAAAAGCCATACAAAACGTTTAAAAACACGCAAAAAAAATCCCTTGTAGGGTCAACAATGAGATTATGTTGCTTCATTTGTAGTGGCTCCATGGCCCAAATAACCACTAGCTGGTTAGATGTAGTTTATGGTCTCTGAGAAGTAAGTTGCAAGGATCCTTGGAGCTCCCATTTGTAGATCCTTCTAGGTCTACCCAGCCTTTGGAAAAGTAAAAGCCATTCTGTAATAGGTGGGGAGGATGCCACCAGAAGATGAACTTCCGTGGTGCTAAAGCCTATCAGAAAGATAACCTAAAGTTTGTTTTGGCAGAATGGGCTTAACTTTGAGTGGTCGGATGGGACAAGGTCTTTGTTTACTTTCTGGAAAGACGACGAGTCGCAGGCCTTTGGCAGTTGTGTTTACATCGATACTTGGGGGCACTGGAAAAGTGCTAACTGTGAAAGACTTCTGCAAGGAGCAGTCTGCCATGTGCCACCTAGTAAGTTGGAGTTCAGTTTTGTATTAAATCTCTGTAGCTGCACATGTGTGCATTGACAGTGGAAGTATATGAAAAGAAACTCATTAGAGGTTAAACAGTGATGATAGTATTATTCAAAACTTAAATGTATTTCTGGCATTTCCTTGTTGCGTCTCCTATTTGTGAAACCATTTTTCCCCCATGAAATATTGGCCATAAGGTCTGGTCCATAGGGAAAGGGAAAGAGAACGTTCATAATAGAAAAAGACACAGGAAAATTACTTTGTCTCTTCAGTGAACGTTATATTATCTGTGAAAAATGATGATTGCTAATAACCTAGCTTGAAGGGAAATCAATTCGGTTTGCTGCAATTAACTATAGGATGGGAGAAGGGAAGTATTTAGAGCAAAGTGAAAAATTAAAGTCACATCTTCACTGATTGCACGTAAAAGATTTTGCAGCTTTTTTCTGTAAAGATAAGAATATTTTCCTGTATCCTAAAACATGTGTTTCCTGCACTGCTCTGTCAATTACCTGGGCTTCATTTGAATCCAGAATTCTGATCTGAAACTCCATTCAGCCCAGGACTACAGAGTCGTTGGCAGCATCCAGTTCCCAAAATAGTTCTTGTTTGGTGGTATTTATCACCAAGGGTTTGCCTACACCTTTTTTATAGCTTAAGGATCTGTTGAGAAGAAAGCTGTTTTGGAATCCTTCAAGATAAACACGATTCCTTTGCATGTTTTTTGTGACTAAGCTGGCTAATTTTCTAATTTGTTTATGTCGAGTTCTGTAATCATATACAGCCTAAGGTTTATTTTGTTATTTTTAAATGTGTTTTGTGGCAGAGTAGGAAGCATGGGAGAGACCATAGGTAACACAGCCAGATCTACAGCGCTGCCAAAAAGCAATGCTTTAGTGAGCTTATGGAGTTGCCTGAGTCAGAGGAATCTGCTGCAGCATGTTGCCCACTGGAGAGGCTGCCTGCTGCTTACTGGGGGAAACCCTCCTCTGTGCCACAGTATTTGGCATCAGTTACCTGTGCAATTTAGTCCTTTGAAATCCCCAGCCCTCTGGGAGATGCTGGGAAGTCCAAAGTGCTCAGATGTGCCTGTAGTTAGCTCATGACTCCCTCTGCACATCAGCACCGGTTAGATTGTCCTGGTACTGCTGTTGCAATACTGCTGATTTTGATCAGAAATAAAGCCAGCCTTACAATTGTGATACAAATATATACAACTGCTACATTTTCACTTTGGAAAAAAATAGAGGCATGATGGAATAACACGCTTATTAGCACTACTCCAAAACAGAATGTGGAATGTTATATTAATGTGTATATTCTTGTGCCAATAAAGCCATGCTGTTATTTCTACCACAGAAAAGAAACTCACTGCCTATAAAGGCTTATGTTCAGAAAAAAGTGTTCCCTGGATCAAATTCAAAAACAGTTGCTACAGCTTTTCCACAGTTCTGCAGGGCACAAGTTTGGATACTGCATATGAAGTCTGCAAAAATCAAGGTAAGTAATTATTTTGTAGCTACAAAATATCATTGTGATACATATTATCTGAAATTACTGAAATCGTGGCACGAGTTTTCACTAGTGCAAGATGCTGATAGTGAAGTTCATAAGCCAACTACAAAGCTGGATGCTGTTTGCATTAAAAAAAAAAAAGGTCCTTTCCATCCAAAATATTGATTTCTGGAATAACACATAAAATTAGTTTTTCCCCTCAAACTTTTTTAAAATTATGTGAGAACAGTTTTGCATGAGCCTGAGCATTCTTGCATTAATTACAAATTTAAGAATTTATAATGTATAACCAGACTTTTCAAGTTTTTCACTTAAGGCTCATAATATTAACATTTTGAAATGCAGTATTACATTTCAATGGCATAGATTGTTTGAAAACTTGTTCTGTGTTTAATTTGTAGGATCAAATCTTCTAACTATTCAAGATGAAGACGAAAATGCCTTCATTTTGGAAGAATTGCACAGTTTTGGTTATTCTGTGCAAATGATTTGGTTGAACATCCTGCTTGTTACAGACAGTAGGTTTTGAATCTGTTCTGCATTTTGATCATTTTAATGCTACCATCTTCCTTTGAGATTTTGGGGTTTTTTGATGCTTATTACCCATTTATGATGTAGTAAAACCAGTCAAGCTTACTTGTAATCGTTACTTCTTAGTATACTGAATACTCAGTATGAATGTGTGCATGTGAATACCCTTATCTTAAAGATGGACTACAGGCTGTCTCATGTCAGATACATAGAATGTTTTTAAATCCTTCAAGTAAAATGATGAAATAATATAGTGGTCAAACAGACAAAATCCTGGCATTCTGTAATACAGTCTTCTTTTATGTGAGGGTAAGTCCAGCTGAAACAGATATTTATCAAAATGCTGTGATATTTTATAATGATTTATGACTTCTGCCTGTAGATGAGACAGTCTCCTGGTTTGATGGTTCTCCCTTAAACTACTCCAACTGGGGCATCAGGGAGCCTGAATTTGATCATCTCAAAGGGAATTTCTGCATCAGCCTGAGGACCACAGATGGTGTCTGGCAATTGTCTTCATGCAGAGAAAAAAAGGGATTTGTATGTAAAATGGATGCAGGTATGTGCTTCCATAAAAGAAGACAGTTGTGTCCTTATAACCATTGTTTTACATGTTCTTTGTTGCTTGTTTACTTGCTCTTAGTGTTCATGAATAATTCCATCCCTTGGTATTATTAAAAATAGAAAAAACCTAGGTGGGGTACCCTCCTTCTGAGGGACCTGGGCAGCCACGGTGTTATTGCTAACTGCAGTAGACTTGCTGTTGTATGGGTGAGCCATGTGCAAAGCATCAGGTTGACCTCCACAGACCCCGTATGATAGGAAAGCCACAAAGACACTGCATTAGTAGGAGTGCAAGTCTGTGAGAACTGGAGTGTTTCCAGAGCCCACCCCAAGTGCCTGAGTCACCGCTGGACACAATAGCTATCACCGCAGGCTTCTGCTCATGCATTTATACTTTAAAAAGTGGATAAGTACTGCTGCTCATCCTTGCATAAGTGTCAGTTAATATATCCTGACAAGTTTAAGGGATTTTAGGTAACAGATTAATCGTGTTTAACTTGGCCATTTGGAATCCTATTGACATGGGTCAAATTAAACAAAGAACAGTCTGCTCTTGTATGGTTTTAGATGGATTGTCTTCTCAGTATCAGTTCTACAGTGAGTATGTATGGTAACTTCTGTTATCTCTCTGGGCAATTTTATGATGGTTCTGGATTCTATTTCAGATATCGATGCAACAGAATCCTCTGAAAAAGGTAAGTTGTCTCTGTACTTTTTTTTCTTTATAAGAAGTAATAAAATATTTTGAGCTTGTATTTTGTGAGATAACATTTTTCGCTGTTAAAACTGTAATTGAAAATGTGTGACATATGGGGAGTAATAATATGTTTTCCATAAAACATCTATGTGTTTATATTTAGAATTATCTATTATAGCTATATTTTCTTCTGAACAATTTCTGTACTCCCTTTCAGCATCAGACCATGGACTTGTCGCTCTGGCTGTTCTCGTGACACTGGTGATGCTGGGTGCCATTTCCCTTTTTCTGTGGTGCCTCTACAAGCAGAATAACCAGCTCTTCCGCAGGATACTGTGGGTCAGAAATGCCTATTTGCCACAGATCAATGCTGATGTTCCTCCTTTGGAAGAAAGCATCCTCATTTCTGATTTTGAGAGAAGTGACAACAATTAACTGATCAGAATTCGCAAGCAGTCACATCTTCCATGCGAAACTCCATGATCTGCAGTGGTTTTCTCCTTCTTGGGAGTTTCCCCAGGGCACCCATATCCAGAGAAACTCTTGCAGTCATTCGTATGAATATCATAGGGGCTTCCTACCTTGGAGAGCTTTTGCTTTGTGTTAGGATAAAGTGAGGATGCAAGGCAGAACCATTGAGAAACTGCCTCTTTTGGAGCAAGCTGGGAACTGAAAATACTCCCACACTATAAACTTCCAACTGCTCATATGGGGCAGTCATGTCCGAGGCCTCAGAGCAGCAGGCATTCTCATGAAACTTTTTCCTTTGGGAACAATTGGGCTTTTGTTTTGTTTTATATGTTGCAGAATCTGCTCATGAGCCAGCATTGAAATCTGGCATTGAATTTAGGAACTCTGAAACATACCCCAAGGATTATGGGATAGATTTTATTTTGTTAATAGCCGTTCCTTCTGCAGAATGAGCAGTTACTTTTCAGAATGTGGATTCTTGCCAGGTGGATTTCCAAGCTTGCAGAGGGATGAAGTCACTTTTGAATTGAAGGTGCCAGAGTTTTGGTAGTTTGGCCCGTGGTACCTATTTCGTGTTATAAAACAAGTTAGTCTAGAGATATAATGGCATCTGGGCTTTGTCATCCCCAAGGTAATATATTCATTTGAGATGCATCCACTGCCCTGTTAAAATGTAACTGGGTGATATCTCACCTAGGTTATTTCAGAAATGGAATCCCATCAACCTCTTTTAAAGACACTTTGGGGCAGTATCTGTTTGAAGAAAAAGAACTGTTGCTGAAGTTATGGTAATAAGTTGCTTTACTGTTCACCTACAGTACTTCTGCAAGCAGCATTAATGTGTGCTCTTGTGAGACCCTGCTCTCAAAAGCTAAGGATGATATGTGGGGAAGCTCTTCCCAAAGGGTGCTGTATTCCTATAAGCTGATGTAGCAGACCCTCAGAAGGACACTTCACTTCCAGTGTTCATACTAAGGTGCTAACAAAGGAGGTAGGCTTAGATGACCAGTTGGTCTGCAGGCTGGTGGTTGTGAAGGACCCAGCTCAGGTCTCGGCAGTACCTCAGTTACAGCAGCCCAAGACAGCAGTGCTTACTCTCCATGGGACCACCCTCACCAACCCTTCACCCGCATCTCTTGGAAGTTCCTGGCAGGTTCTCAGGGATGTTACTTCTTGTTTTTATTACAGTGTGGAAAAACAGAAGGTTGGTCAGGACGAGCCATTTCAGAGAGGATTTACTGTGCCTTCAGTGGCCTCTGCGAGCTGCTGTGCAGGGCTGTGTTTGTTGTGGGGCTTGTTGGTTTGCTTCTTTTATGGTGACTCGTTCTAGCAATTTAGCAAGAGCCCTAACATGGAGGTACATCCCTCTGAACTAAGCGAGCAGCCAAGACCAGCTGAAATGTTTTTACACACGCTTTGTGCACATGCACAGGAATGTATGGCTGCCTTTCAGTTACGTTTCACATGGCCAATGCTAGAAACAAAAATTGCCTGTTCATGTTATGATTACGTATAAGGCTATTTTTAAAAAGTATTTAATACACAGAGTATTTCTGTGCCAGTTTACAGAACTGTTCAAAAATGTTGTCAGAGGCTGCAGATGGTTTTGATCCCAATATAATTTTCAGTTTACCGTTTTCTGTAACTTCTATGGGTGTAGCTATCACAAGTTTTTAACCTGAGGTTTTTCCATCGTATAAAATATAAACAGCTTTTCTGTGTATATTTTGGCTAATGGCTTGACACCATACATTAGTATTCAGTAATGTTTTAAAGGTTTGGGTTTAGTCATCTAGATTTGTCTATGGGGCTGTTTTTATATGAAGTCTCTCATTAGAGTTTGTGGGCTGAAACTTTTGAGTACAGTTGCCAGATCATCTGCAGTTTGTATGTATGAGCTGTGATAGCTTCTTTACCACCAAGAGAAGAAAAAAGGTTGTGACCGTTTCCCCCTTCCCCATGAGAATTTCACCTGTTTATACTACAGTTGGAGGAACTTAAACCAACAAATCCTGTTCTTCCCATTCACTGACTAGCGTGTGAGTGCTGCCTTCTCACAGTATGGCAAGCAGAGTGGCTTGCAGGATGGGTTTTGTTTGCTAGAGTAAGCTGTGTTTTCTCCAAGGATGTGTATTCATCAGGCTACAGTGTTGTTACTAGTTATGCAGGCTCTTGTCAGATTTTGATGTGGTTAATGAAAGTGTATATTCTTTTTCACAAAACTTGACATAGGCATTTTATCAATTTTCCTTGAGGAATGTTGTAATCAGTTGAATATGAATGTTTGAAGGGCAGTGGCATAATAAATAACCCTAACCTCAGAATAGTGATCGTTGATTAATATTAACTCTGATGTAGGTTACCTTTCATTAAGGGAAAAATAGTTCAAGCAGTATTTTCTCACTACTTTGAAATGGTTTTGAGGAAACAGACCCTTAAATATTTATTTTTAAATCTGTCTTCATTGAACTTTTATAATTGCAGGTATTATTCACTCAAGAATGTAACTGTTGATTGCTTCCTAGTGTTTGTTCTGGGTTTTGTTACCCATCTTTTGTTTTCCCTTAATCAGAGGTCTCCTGTACTGTTCCTGGTGAGAGTATGTGGTGACTATGGTTTCACTGCTGACCTTGATGACACTGGCAGTGAGTTTCACTGTATTATTTCAGCTGGAAAATTAAAGTGTCCTTAATAAATTTGTGTGCTGTAATTTTCTTGACTCTTCCCCCAGCTTTAATTGGCTGCAGGCTGTAGTGTCTCATAGTAGCAGCAGTCCCCAAGCTTCACACCAGTTCATCCTCGTAGAAGAGGAACAGCTTGCACCAGCCTCCTTTCTTACTATGTGGCTGAACATAGATCTGGGCATTGCAAACTGTCTCCACATGTGGTGGTCTCAGTGTATAGTGGCCTCAGTGTTTCCCAAGGCATGGACAAAGATGTCCCAGAACGTGTGTGCAGGAGGTGCTGGGAGGAGGAAGGAGCCACAGCATCATCAGTAAGGATGAAGGATTAGAAGCATGATGCTGGCACACAGATATTCTCCCAGCCTACTGCCTGTCCCCAGCAGCCCTGGGAGCTGGGGCCATTAGGGATGAGTGATGGGCTTTAGGGATATTCCTGCTGGACTGTAGAGGCTGTGCTGTGTGGGAGCTTCTTGTCCCTGCCACAAACAAGGTAGAAATGCATGGACTGTAGCGCAGTAGCTTCCATGGCTAGCACCAAAGGGTTCACCAGAGCCTGAGCAGGTAAATGAATGTTGCATTTTCTTGTGCCATGCCAGCTCCTTTGACAGAGTTTACTGAAAGGAAAGTGTTGGATATTTTTGTACCACTTGGGGAATGGAAGGGTATCTCCACCAGAGGTAGATGCATTCAGGTGAACATATGACAAACTTTGTCTACCAGACGCTGGGGTCTGGAAAAAAATCCATGTGCTTAATTTCTGCAAAATCCATTCCAGGAGAAAATTTGCCTCCTGGTCCTTTTAGCAGTACTTGCAGCATGTTTCTGACAGAAGGAGATGCCTCATGCAGCTGTCACATTCCAGCCGGATGGGAGTCTGCAATGGGAACATATGTACCCTAGAGATGTCCAGCATGGACGGGGAGAGCAAAGGGCACAAGGCTGTAAGTGGGCAATGTGACCTTCAAACAAAGCCCCTTCCAGCTGTGCCTCTCCTGGGTGCAGTGCTGCCCTTTGTCCAGGGATCCTCCTCTCTTCTGCTCTCCTCCTCCCTTCCTTTACCTTCACACACACTTCTGTGGTTGGATCATGATAAGAGAGGAGCCATGGGGCTGCTTGGAATCTGTGGAGTGCAGTCTGGAAGGTGTGCAGGGAAAAGGTAGGGGTTTCCATGCTCTGTGAGACTCGACTAGCCCTGGTTCCCAGGGCACTGTTGCACAAATTCCTGTTTAATTTAGCCTCCTGCTTTTTTCTTTCATCATGTTGCCCTTCCATTAGTGTAGTAACAGGCATCCTCAGTATCTTGTAATAATAAAACTCACTGTGATGAAATCTGTGGCATGCTTTTCCTCCAGGGCATTTAGAATGTTTTGCTTAAAAGCTAAATTGCATGCATTCAGCAATGGGGCTCTAAATCCTCAGCTTAAAAAATAATAAATGTATATATATATATATATAAAGCACCTCTTCTTGAGCTATAATAATAATATAATATTTCCGTTGGTAATAAGTGGAATGTTGGTTTTAAATCCCCCAGGCCAGCGCTGATCTACTGCAATCTGATGCAGCCCTCGTGTAGATGACTGTCAGGAGTAAATTCACAGGATTTACGGTGCTCTGAGATGGTAACTATGTTCTGAATTAAAGTTGATCTTGGGGCTTGGAAACACAGTCTCGGTTTGGCCAGTAGATGGCACTGGAACACACAGAGCTGGCAAAATGGGCTGTGCGAGAGTAAGAATCAGGGAGCTGCTCCGGGTCCTTTGGAAGTTCTAATTAAATGAGCAGCAAAGCTCCCAATTTACGGGACTGCAAATATCAGTGTCAGCTCTTAGCCATAGCTGGAACACTGCTAAGCTGTGTTAAAACAGCTCTCCAAGTCTCAGGGTTCGTTCTCAACAACTTTAAGGGGATGCATTGAAATGCTCTGATTGGAATAATGCAGGTCTTTACGTTGATCTGTGGCTTTTTCTTTTGTTTGGTGAGTGATGGGAAAATCCACTTGGGTTCCTGAGTAGTAAAAAATAAGTAAGTGTATCCTTGAGGTATGTTTTCGTTCTGATCCCTTTGCTGGAAAGGTAATTCATAGGAAATGCTCCAGCCAGGTCCCTGGGTTTGGTAAATGGATTTGGTTTAGCGTTTTATTCCTTGACTGTAGCAGTGCAGGCCTTTACTTACTAATTTACACGGGAAAAAGAAAATGAAGACATAGAAATTGAATTATTATACATTTTAGACATCCATTCCATAAGTAAACATTCCACAGCATTGTTGAAAGCAGATTCATTTTCTCCTCTCAATTTATTCTGTAAAGTGCTTAGTGTGTAAGAGTTGCTGATCCCTTTCTATAGCCATTATCTTTATGCAGGATGACTATGATTTGGATTCCGATTAATATAAATTTAAGCATAAAAAAAGGATGTTGAGAATCATTTTGGAATAAAGCCTCACTTCAAGGTCCTAGTTTTTATAATGTTACACCCTTATACTGCAGCTCTTCTTGACCTTCCCAATTTTCCTGTGATGAAGCAACCGCAGTTGTCAAAGGAAGTGTACTAGACCCAGCCTGCCACAGTGCTTGCAAGTAACACCACGATAATTTGTAACTACTGAAGCGGTTCTCAACTGCAGTCATTTCCAAAAGTGTGCAGTTAGGTAATAGCAAAAGCACTTCTACTACCGTTTCCTTTATTTTTGATGCTTATTTTTGTTCCTTGGCTTGTTACTGTTGTAAGAAATCCTAACGTTTTCTTAACCTCAGCCTACAGACTGTATCTCTACCGCTGTTCTCAGAAATAAATGCTTCAAAACATAGTTTTAGTGGCAACAGCTAGAACTATAGATTGAAATGTGTAGTGGGCTAAAAGTCATTCTTCTCTGCATGCTAGTAGGGAAAGATTCTTTCTCTGAATCACACACATAAAGGCCTAACAACCTGCATGCCACAGAGGCAGCCAGTGTGCAGCTAATGGTGGCAGTCACTGGGTGGTTGAAGGCCATCTACCACTACTGGGTTGGCTGGTAGAATGCAGCCGCTGGGTCAATGTCTCAGAATATACACTGGAAAACAAAAATTATCCCTGTATCTTCTCAGATTTTTATAGATGGATGTTCATCTTAAAAAATAAACACTGTACAAAAAATCCTCTGTATTTTACAGAAAAGTAGTCCATCAAGTACTTTTGTAAAGCTATTTATTCAGGTCATTTATTCTGAAGCATGATCTTAGGCCATTGAACTGATCCATAACCTGATTAAACCTGCTTTTCCACTTCTTCCTGTCCTAAACTTTGTGTGTGTTGTAGGTGAGAAGCCCTTGCTGGAAACCAAAAGCAAGCTTGCATGGTGCTGATAAAAGGCAGGCTCGATCTCCTCAGCAGCTTTGGGCTGCATAGCTTCACCATGATGGATGCGGGACTCCATCCCAGATCTTGATGCTTCCAGGTTCATTCAGGTATGCAAGCAGAATCTCTAACATTGGACACTGCCAATAAGCTGGAGTACGTAAACTTTTAAGATAAAGTAAAAGAATATTCGAAGTCATGTAAGGCTTCATTTGTTATGGTCCTAGCACAGGTTACCCATAATTCTGCTTTATCTGTACAATTTTCTTTTGGGACATTTCCTCTGATCCTAACAGGTTTAGCTATTATATATCTGAAATCTGTCACCTACCTAAATGCTTACATGACCTAGACATTATATATTATGCTATTTAATATTCAAGAACATGGGAGGGATTCTTTCTGAAAAGGGAAGAAGGTGTTGTTTCTGCTGCCACATATCACATCCTGGTATTCCTGTATTCCTGTGGGATGACAACTGTTGCGAGGCAAATTAATTGCTTAATTATTGTTTCAAAAACGAACATTGAAGATGGAGTTGTACATATGCGACACATTGTTACTATAAAAAAAGAAAGGTTCTCTTCAGTTAAACGTGGAAATGCATCAGAACAGCTTCAGTAGGCTTTCCATCTGGAAAGAACAAATTAATAGAATACCTACTGAAACAGCAGCTGCTTTACCCTTTAAAATAGCTGTAGTATAAATAGCAGAGTGGCTTCTCCCCACACACCATACCCAGGAATGCGGCTGATATTGCTTTCACTGCTGCAGGTTTCTGGAGTGCCTTGCCCCACTGAACACAGCACCTCAAAACCAAAAGGACACATGCAAAGAAGGAACTCTAATTTTAGTTCTGTTTTCCCCCAGAGAATTCACAGATGCAGGTGATGGGGCACCTGATGACCTGTTCATGTGGATTGTACTTTGAAGTTGTCTCTGAGATGTACCTTTGGGTGGTCCAGTTGCCTTAGCAGGTCTGGAGCTGGATCCCAGTTGGGGATAGCCGCCCGGGAGAAGCAGCAGCTCTTGCAGGAGAGAGCGATGTCCCAGGCTCCTCCTTCCTCCTCCTTTGTGACACTTAGTGGAAGCAGCAACTTCCTGCACAGCAGCTGCTCAGTTCAAAGCTCTCAGGTATGACTGACTTACAGGGCAGCTTTTGGCAGACTTACAAATAACTGTTCCTAGTTCCATGTGAGTCTGCTGGAGTGTGTCTGTGGCCAAATCTGGTTCAGGAGCTGCTGGATGGACTGTAAGGCCCATGACATTCAAAGCAAAGCCCTAAGTTATGAGAAAGGGCAGGAATGGTTGCCCTCAGTACTACCAGGATCATAAAATCATTAAAAATTTCTTTCTTGAAGTTAGATGCATTTAATCCATTTGCATAATAACATCAAAAAGAAGAAAATTAATTCTGACATGGACATTATTCAACATTTATGGATATGGTATTTAAATAGAGCTCTAATACAGCTAGGAGGTTTTGTGTCTCCCTCTGGAGACAGAGGAACATTCAGTAGATGCTGAAAAAAGCTCACACTGGAACATGATACCAAACACACGGACACCCAAAACAAATGCAAGGCTTAACCTAAGGCGCACAGTGCTATATCAGTGCTAGTGTATTGTTTTTATGACTGCATTTTAAAGCAGTCGTTCTTCTGATCCACG